ACCTTAAGTAACTTTTGAAGGACTGATTATTACAAAAAACAAAAAAATGCGTCAATTAATATTCGAAGGGGGGGCATTCATACTCTATTCTTTGTCGTAAATCTTCTAAAGATTCTGGTTGGGTAGCATACATTTTTGTTTTTAAATAACCCCATAAAAAGAAGTCTAGAGGTGATAAATCCGGTGATCTAGGTGGCCACTCTATCATCGAGCCTCTTCTACCTATCCAACGATTGGGGAAAGTTTCATTTAAAAATGTTCGTACTGGCAAAGCAAAATGTGGAGGCGCTCCATCCTGTTGAAAGACAAGCAAATCTTCAGAAAGATTATGATCATTTTCTATTATTGTTGTAATACGTGGATCAATTACTTCTCTCAATAACTCAAGATATGACTCTCCATTTAAGTTTCCGTCTAAAAAGAAAGGTCCGACTATGTGGTCACCTAGGATACCACACCATACATTTAACTTTTGAGGATTCTGTGTGTGGTATTCACGCACAACATGTGGATCACTCTCAGCCCAATATCTGCAATTATGTCTATTAACTAAACCATTAACTGAAAATGTGCATTCATCCGAAAAACAAAGGTTGTGCAACAAATGTGGATTGTCAGTCAAGCGCTCAATAGTTCACAAAATTCAAGACGACGATCAAAATCATCTTCATACAACTCTTGAACCAATTTAATTTTGTATGGATGGTACTTATGCTTGTGTAATATTCGATAAACTGTGGAAGATGAAACACCTACTTCTCTGCTTATTGTTGTCAGTGACTGTGCTTGTTGATTTTCAAGACTTACTTGTCCTAAAACTGCGACTTCAATTGCTTCGTTATTTACGAGTTCCAGTCGGTTATGTTTTTTATTGCCAACTGACCCGGTTGATGTAAATTTATGCATAAGATCAATTACATACTTGGTGTGTTTCGTTGAAAATTCTAGCAGCAGCTCGTGCAGAACTGTTATTTTTGTAGTATAAACCTACAAGTTCAATTCTTTCTTGTAAACTGTAAACCATTTTCAAATCAAATAAATAACCTCAACAAATCAATGTGCACATGTATCAAAATACACTATAAAAGTAATTTAAATTCATTTTTCAAATCTCCAATACCTTTACCATGTATCATAAAAAACTTCAACAAGTTTTTAGCGGTACGATTAAGGTATAATGTATTCTAAATCCAATTTTGCTGCAGTCAGTAAGGTGAGATGTAAAAATTTGTCACTCAAATAATGGAACCCTGTAGATCATAAACTAATTATTTCAAACCCCATGTTTTATACATTTTTGAAATCAGTTAAACGAGAACAATCCAAAAATGGATAAAAAAATGGGGAAAGCCATTTAAAAAAATTGAAGGGATGATAGTATGTGTGAAAGGGTGACTTTTTCAGCAAACTTAAATATGGCACGATATCTCGCCCTTCGAATATTAATTGACGTATTTTTTTGTTTTTTGTAATAATCAGTCCTTCAAAAGTTACTTAAAATGGATACTTTTATCTGAAAAGCACTGTATAAGGTTTGTTCGTGTTTTTAGTTTCACTTGTTCAGAACCGTTCCAGACATGCGTAATAGATTAAAAGTGCTCGTGTTTTCTGGAACTAAGTTCTGAACAAAGAATCCTATGTTTGAGTTTTTTTAGAACGATTCTGAACTGTTTTAAAGAGTTCTATGTGATTCTAGCCAAAAGTGCGAACCGACAAAAATCGTTCTAGTCACACATGCGCATTGCACCATTACAAAAATAATAATGAGTAAACAAGATTAGAGGTTAGGTATATTATATTGAATATGGAATTTGACTGAGAAAATTAATTTTCTTTATAGTTTATCTTTCTCTTTAAACTAAGAAGAAAATATTAACGGTGACCGATCTTCAAAAAACGTAACCAAAGCATAGGTACCAATTTTATTTAAAGTACAGTTAAAAAAGGGAAAACTAGTTTGTTGTTAGCTTTTTTTTTAATGCTAAATAATAATTATTTTACCCTACAATTTCGACAAAATCAATTGACAGTTGATAATTTAGGTGTTCGTGTTAATGTCTAATCCAAAACTGTGCCATTGAGCAACTAGTTCTGCGCAATTTTAGAACAGTTCTGTTTTGAATAACACGAACAAACCTATAGATAAGTTACAATCTGTTCAGAATAAATTTATTTCTTATTGCCATAAAAAATATTATCCTCAAATAAGAGGAAACAAAATTTTATCGAATTTAAATTTAATCAATCTAGAATCACGAAGACAAATTTCTGATATAATGTTTATGCACAGAATACTTAATCGTCAAATAGACTGCATTGATATAATGAATCTCCTTCAATTTAATTGTCTCAATTATAATACTAGAAATATTAATACATTTTTTCTTAACAAGGCAGCAACCAACTACTATTTAAATAGTTTTTAGTCTTTATTTTTGAGTAAGTATTATTGTAAATGATATGATTATTGTATAACTTTGTACTATATTATTGTATAATCTGGTGGACACTTTTTTGGACTAGTCCTGTCTATGCCCCGAATAAAAAAAATATATAAACGTTTATTGGAGTCAGTAACCACTGATTTAGATCAATTGCATGTTTAATTTTTCATGTCGGTTAAGTACATTGTAATGTTAAGCAGACACTGGATGTTGGGTGTACTGGTTTTGCCAAGACGAAATAAAAAAATCGTCATACGCCCATGCCATTTGTGGATATATTACGTAGGCAAAGGAATTAGAAAGTAGAGATACTTTTGTTAAACAAACCTTAAATGTTCTTCTTCCATATAGGCACTTTATGGACTCTTTTTTTCCCATTAATTTTATCTAAATATATAGATACCTCCAAGAAATTTATTAGGTTATAAGTTACAACTGTTTTCAATTGAATTGCTAGACAAATTAATTTGTTTATGGCAATAAAATAATAAGTATTACTCAGTAGTTTAGGTGCGGTGTTTAAACCGAACAGCCAAGCCTGTATTTTTAACTGTATGCACACCATAAAACGAAATATTTTTTTGAAAATATCATTAGAAAATGTAATATTAGCATAACATAATTACTCGAAATAACAAACCGTTTTACATCTACTAATTTTTTTTATGAGAATGTCGGTTAATTAGAACAATCATTACTAATAATTAACAAAATATACAGGATCTGGCAAGAGAGTTTAACCTTAAACATTGTTAGTAATGGACTGTTGATAGTGTTGCTTGAAATTATAATAAAAATATTTCTAAAATAGGTATTGGAAAAATTTAGACAGGTCGAGCAGACGATTCTTCTTCTTTTGAAGTGTTTATTTTGGATTTAATTCAGAGCTGCGAGTAGTTATCACGGACATGACTCATATATGTCTTTGTCAATATTGGCCTGCTTTGGAACCATTTTTTGTGGATCACTCTTTACTTTTACGAATGAAACTTCCGATTATATCGAAAGTAGATAAAGATCGTTTAAACGTTCCAAAAATAAATAAATGTCTCGCTACAATTAAAAAAAGGAATCGCTACAGGGCCTAACATTGTATCAGAATATAGTAGAGTATAGTACATATCTAAGATAAACGGATATAAATGAACTGGACTACCGCACCGACGGCAATAAAGTCGAAGAGTGTGGGCTAGAAAATATGTATTTATTCACAAGCCAACAGACATTTTGGTGCCTGTGATTTTTTAACTGCTCCTGCGTAATTTTTGTGTGCAGAATCCAAAATAGCTATCAGATCTAGTTTTTAAGATAGGCAATATTTACTATTTTTTAACTAGCATATAATTTATGTTATACCAAAGGTTCGTTAATTACGTTTTTTCCTTGAACCATAATATTTCTTAAAGGCTAATTTCTGTTAACCCAGTGCTGATTTTTAGCTCTGCTGTCCCAAAGACATTAAAAACGGGTATTTTATATATCCACTTTGCTGTCCAAGGAGAAAGTTTACCATTTTTAACACAAATTGACCACTGATGTTCTTCGTATTTCATTTTTTTCAAAACTAGTGCTATTTCATAGTCCTCTTTCATAGTAGTAGAATGACCAATAGGAATTGAGCCATATATCTTACCGTTATGTAAAAGGGTACATTTTAAACTACGTTTTGAACTGTCAAAAAAAAGGTGCCAATCGTCTGGAGTGTATTCTGACAAACCCATTTTTTCTAAAAGTCCTTTTATATCCATACAGAATACCAGATCATTTTCCCGATTGAAAAAGGCAGCAAATCTTTCTCTTTTACGATTAAATGTAATATTAGTACCTAGTTAAAGAAGGTTATTTTGTTTTAATCTGGATACAAGTAATTCAGCAGACTCCTTTGAGAGGTTTAAGTCTTTAATGAGATCGTTCAGTTCTTGTTGATTGAAACACTGAGTTGTTAAATCTGCTTCAAATTCACTGTCGTTTTCTGATTGAATTCTTTGAATTTCATCAAACTATCACTGTATCATCTTCCGGGAGTTTAGGAAGATTGCTGAGGATGGGTATTTCTTCCGAGTGAAGGACAGGTCTTGCAGAATCTAGACCATTTGTGTCTATTCTATTCATGCCTTTAATATTCACTAGACAAAAATAGCAGTCATCATAATATTTCGTGGTTCCCTTCAAACCATTGGTACACCAAACTTTAGGCATTCCTCTATCCAATTGTCCACTATCGCAAATGTTTTACACACATGTGGAGCCCAAGATTTATCCTGGTCTTTCAAATATACCAAAATATAATTATTGTTCAATTCTACACAAAAACAACCGTAACCACTTCTCTTGATTCAACTTACAATATGAATCATTTATAAACTCAAAATGTAAAATATGAACTCAAAAAACCACTGTGATATAAACCTGTGACATAAACCAAAAACCTTTATTTTTACAAACTGTCTAAGTTAACATTTGAAACGCATAGATGACACGTTCATTGCCTATCCTAACTTTATGTCCCTGATCTCTGAATACACCTTTATTAAATCAAACATTATTTTGTTGCAGGTTATTCTTGGTATGAATGCAATTGCTGTCCCTATGGCTACCACATCGACCTTGATTTCGTACGTTATTGCGAATCGATCAGCAAGGAAACAGACAACCGAACTGGTTCTATCCAAAGAAGAAAAGACAGACGAAGACAGAGACAATCCATGGAAGTTCTTCTGGGTCTTACACCCCCCGTAATAGCTGCAATAGAACAAAGTTATAAAGTAAGTAAGAACAAAATTGTAAAGCTTAATGTGCGTCCAGATCGCAGCAGCGCAATACTGAGCAAAACGTTCGTAGAAATTCGGAAGACGTTGCAGATATCCTAATTTTAAATTGGTGGGTAACTGCAGTTTGACATTGGCAACATGTGCTGTGTGCAATGTTGCAGCTTTAGTCTCCTTAATCTAAGAGTAGTAGATAATAGTTTTATATACATTTAGGCAAACAGCAAGAGAGCTCTTTCTACCTAACCTGATTCTCCACCACAATGTAAAATGCATATTCTTTTTCCTCCTATATTACATTTTAAACTTCCATCAGTCCAACATTTTTTTATGATGTCGTGATTGTCGAACCAGGTTTCATCTAAAAATGAATGTTTCTGCCCTCTCGTCGATACTTTGTAATTAAATCGAGATATTCTATTCTCCATTTAACTAAACGGATGGATTCCATAACTGTTTGTCTTTTATTAATGGTTTTAAATTTAAAGCCGTTGGATTTTAAAAATCTCCATAATGTCCTTTTATGGGAGTCTTTTTTTACCGTTTTTTGTTTTAAACGTAAAAATAACGTGTTCAAAGTAGGAAAATTATTTACAGAGAACAGTTCATAAATTGTTTCCCTAATCTAAAAATAGGTAAAGTAGTAGGTAATAGTTTTATATACATTTATGCTGGAATTCAGGATTAAGTGTTAAAAAATATAATTTCTTCGAATTTTTTTTTTTTTTAATTAAAATTATATTTAAAAATAAAACCTATGTAATTGAATTTAGTTACCCTCTCAACTATGTCTTCAATTTTAATGAATTCATTAGATTTGTTTTTACTTGTGTTTACTTAAAAGGTGTTAATATACCGGGTCATTCTATATGGGCGGAACACTTGATTTATGGCTTAACTATGACTTGTACGAAAATTTGACTTAGATAAAAGTTTTTGTACATTTTATGTACTATTTATTGATGTTTACAGATTTCCCGCATACGTAATGATTTTCAAGATATGACGTCATCGGGCAATATTTTAAATGGATCACCCTGTATTTATATTTTTTTTCGAGTTCGTATGATCTGTCTGAATTCATCAATGGTACATTAAGTAGGTCCCAGACTTATTTAAAATATTGCCCGATGACGTCATATCTTGAAAACCATTACGTATGCGGGAAATCTGTAGACGTCAATAAATAGTACATAAAATGTACAAAAACTTTTATATAAGTCAAATTATCGTACAAGTCATAGTTAAGCCATAAATCAAGTGTTCCGCCCATATAGAATGACCCGTTCCTCCCATATAGAATGACCCTGTATGTATAGCAACTTTTGTCTTTATCACTAATTGTTATTAAAGTATCAGCAGCAAAGTGTAGTGTATAATCACAGCATTGAAATGTTCTATGTCGTTAACATACTTGTATTTTTATTAAAAATAGAAAAGAACCCAAAATACTGTACTATAAGTTAATATAGTAGATCATTATGAAAGTTTCTTAAAATCATTCTAATATGTTTAAGACCCTCATCATTCAAAACAAATTCTCACACTAAGTAAAACATCAATAATTATACGGGTAGTCCAACTAAATCGATATTCTTATCTGAAACAACGGGTTTTAATACAGAACAAACATGTTTCTTTTTAATTTACTTTACTACAAAAACTTTATTAGTAGATTCATTCTATTTGTTGTGGTATTTGTGTTGTGATATGATGTTGATGTGAATGTTATATTGTTCGATTTAGAAAAAGCAGATAATTATTAAAATAATTAATGGTTAATACAATTTTCATGATTATTTTGAAAATCTATCTATGTAGGAGACGAATAAATGTTAAGTACTTTTATCTTGACAATTAATATTATAAACAGAATCAAGTATCAATTTAAAATTTAGTTTCAATTGGTTATGCCATCATCTGTATCTCTATATAATGTAATATAATAGTTTAATTTATTTAAGTTTTAAATAACTAGCATATATTTATTTCCAGGAAATTGAAATAATGAAAACATTCAATATCACTTTCTAAAATACAGATACATTTATGTTTTGAGGTTGGTGTATACATTAGGGCCTTCTTTAGAGCAATTTTTTGTATAATTTTATATAAGTCTCGTTATATCTTTTTAAAACAATTGTAAACAGTACATATGGTAGATGAAATGGGACTCTTTACTGTTTTTCATTTTGGATTGTCACTATGTTGAAAAAACGCTTGTTTAATCTCCCAAGAGCTAATGTTCTCATAATTTTATCAAATTGAAGTTCATTTCATTCAGACAAATCATTTTTTCACTCTATGTCAAAGTTTATAGGGCTATAAAATGTAATGAAAGTTATTGTAATCCGCTGTATAAGTGTTATCAGACAGTTAAACTAGCTAAAATACCAACGAGAGAAGGACACTTTTGGTACCTGGCAAAGAAATGGACGGATTTTGTTAAAAACTGGTAAGAATAGTAAACAGGTTACTATCTTTTCATCTAAAATATTTTGAGAGTTATATCATTTAAGCTTATACAGGAAGTAGATGTCAACTTTCTTATTTTAAATCGGACACACATATTTAATAGTATAATAGTGTATAGCTAAGATTTGTAATTTATGAAAAAAAATATATATCCATTAGTGTGAAAAAGTCCAATATCTCCGCCATTATTAGAAATATAAAAAAAATATTTTCACACAACGGTAGACAGCGTTAAACTACATATTTTAAAATTATTTTTGAATATACAGGGTGTTTAATTACTTCCCTCTGGAACCAACTTATGTTGTTTTTAATGGATTACCCTGTATTTTATTTTATATTTGAATTGCCCTCGCTTTTCCCATTCTAAAAATATAAATTATTATTGGTTTATACAGGGTATTTTGCAGGATATAATTAGTTTTGTATGAAAATCGTATTGAATTCAATGACCTATATCATGCAAAAGAAACCATGAATAACCAATTTTTTTCTACAACAATTTTTCAATCATGGTCAAATTTTATACGGAAACACTACTTTTTTCAATTCGCATCAAATCTGTACAGGGTGAGTCAAAACACAAATACATAATTTTCTCAATTTTTTTAAATGGTTCACCCTGGGGATTTTTTGACCATAGAAACATTGTCCATTATCCGATCTATTTTTTTTTTCTTATAAAAATTAGGTGTATGATAATATATTTACTTATTTATTAACACATTATTTTTTATACATTTGTACATATTGCGGATATTAAAATATTATTTATTATTAGCTAAAATTAATTAAAATTTTTAATTACATTATGATGAATAAGGTAATAATTAACTATTACATGCCATTAAAAGATAGTTTATTGTACAGGGTGAGAAAAGACATGCTTAAATTTTGATTTTACAAAACATCAATATCTTCTATTTTTAAAAAATATACAAAAGTTAAATAACCAAAAATATTTTTATTTTTTTCAAAATATATTAGTTGATATAAATTACAAATTTTAGCTATACACTTTGTTATACAAAGTGACCCTAAAATTTCATAGAAATAGTGATGTCCCATTTAAAATAAGAAAGTTATATAAATATTTTAGATGGAATCTGTTTACTATTCTTACTAATTTTTAACAAAATCCGTCCTATTAGTTTCTCAGATATAGTGTCCCCCCATCGCTAGACATCCTGTATTTTGTATTTAGTTCCTTCCAGTGAACCCTTTTCTTCCCCTAACTCTGTCGACAATGGATTAAAAGAAGAAAATTAAAACAAAAATTACAGTTCCAAATATGCCTTCGCAAAAAAGTTACAACGTTCCTATATACTAAAACGAATATTTTAATTAATGATATGCCTGTGGCGTTCATTGAAAAAATTATTTATTTTTATTTATTTCTTAAACGGGAAACTTTCATTACAAAATAACAATATTCACTTTGATTTGGAAACAGGAATTTGCACTATGCTGTTGACAGTAGAATTTTGGGACGCCCAGTATGCATGTATATTTTACAAATAATCATTTCTATCGTTTTTTACTTCGAACAGTTTCAAGGTTTACAGAAAACGATACCCGTTCATATGTATGTATTGTATTTACAAATAATAACTACTATACTATTACTAATATATCGAGATTTACTACTTTGTTGACACAATTTGTTATCCATATCTAAAAAGAAAATTGTTAAATAATTATGTCATACACCAGAATAAACTGAATTGCGCTACAGAATCCAAATTTTGTTATGAAAAAATACATTTTTATATATCAACGAAACATATTTTATAAAAACTAGTAGAAAATTGAAGAAACTTTCTAGAAAGCGATATTTTTTGAATAAAAATATAATGCTTATAACATTTTTTTCACATGGTTGTCCTCTTGAAAACTACTCCTTTGTCTAAGAGAGCTAAGTACAGATGGCTTTACCATTTTTACTCGTTGAATACCTACACTCTCTCAACCTCCATTAATGTAAGCGAGCGAATTTGGTACATAAGAGAGTCCAGAATTTCTATTTCTTGCTGATAAGTCCTAATAAGGACGACACCGATCCAAGAATGACGTTTTCCTTAGGAAGCAAAGTCAAAGTAAATCATTAATTTTTTTTACATGGACCATCATGGCAGGTGAAAGTGGGTACTGTCTAGAAAACATTGGTTTTGTATTCCCAGTATCAATATCATGTTTAATTAAATGTTTACATCCTAGAGAATCTTTTGGAGCTATAGTAGAAAAAAGATCTCCATTAAGTTTAGATTTATGTTCAAAACACAGATTTGACATTGTTTGTATAGAATTTATAGCACATACAGATGATAATAAATAATATGAAAATTCACCACACCTAATATTAATATTAAATAAATTTAAAAAGTCTATTCCCAAAATTAAATTATGTTTTACTGTAGGCATAAGTAAAATTCTTAAAATTTTTGTAATATTATCAACATTGACTGGTGCATTTATAAAACCTAATACATTTTGTGAAACCCCATCAGCAGTAGTTACACTTAAATCATCATCATATAAGATAGGTGTATTTATTTTATGGATAATATTAAAAGCTTGTTGACCTAAAATTGTTGAATAAGAACCTGTATATACTAAAGCTAATATTTCAATATTGTTTATTTTAACCTTTAAATATGGCCTATTATCATTTAGTTTCTTAAAAAATAATAGACTTGAGTTATTGTTTAGGGAAACACCCTGTATGTTTGACCCCTCCTCTACTATTAGAGATGGTGAGGTATTGTCATTAACTAAAAAAATTTCATTTTTAAATTTCCCGCCGGTAATGTCAAAAATCAGATAGGCAACACTGTACATGTCCCTTATTTTTATTACTGTTGAAAAAAGACGTCGTAGGTCAATCAAATACAACAATATACTGAAATATTTGATTGTAAGTACCTACAAAAGAGTGATGGTGAATCATGTTTTAACCAAACACAATTTTATAAATAATCAAGTCAAAATTCCTCCGCTCGTCCCGCAAATATTTACTCGTTACACAAAATAAGACATTTCATAACTGGTTACATAAATAGCTATGCTATCCCTGCTATTTTTTTATATAAAGAAGTAGTTGTTTTCAGGAGGGAAACGGTTGCTCAATGTTTATGTGACACGGTTTTTGAGTTTTTTTTCTTTGTTTTTAATATTATTAATACATTGGAATTTCAGTTTATCCTCAAAATGCAATTTCTAAAACTAGTAATTATGTTATTTATTTTGTTTTAAAAATATTTCGCCGTAATAAACTATCTAAATTATTTGATTAAAACATTACAATATAAATAATTACAATACAGTTACTGCGCTATTCTTGTTAATGTTTGCTCTTTTCGTAAATACTCGGATTAGAAAAACAGTAGTAAATAAATTTTGTTTCCTTTCTTATAGACAATACAGGAGCAAAACTCTCCATCCCCGAAATTATCGAAAACGACAAAAACATCAACAACGACTACGAAGTTTCCGTTTTTAGCTGATGGGTTTGATGATGCCGTATCCGATTTTGAGAGAACACTTCAAAGATCTAAAAACAAATTGTCCAATAATCTGCCAGATGTTACCGCTGTCTCAGGTTAGTAAATCATCACTTTTTCTTCTCCGGAATACCTACGAGTTTATGACCTTTCCGCTCATATATTTTCATTTTATGATGGGAATAAGATGACTTGGGTATCTACTCAAAACAAAGAATAATTCAAATTAATTATCTATAAAAAACGTCACCTACTGACAAATATCGTAAATGATCATTTTATATAAGGTCTTTTAAAACACATGTGCCATCGCTTGTAAAATGATCCCTTGCCCAAAAAGAAAACAGATAGTTCCTATCAACATGCGTCCGTAAATGCTTTGTTCCAAAGATACAGGGTGTTAAATTTTATAATCAGTAAAAAAATTTAAAGGAAAATTAGGAAATTATTCAGCAGTATCTAAAACTATGACAAGTTAATAAAGATGACACTAGCATACTAGATTGTTTTACGGATTTATTATAAGCTTGATATTTAACAGAGTTTGATAAAATTGCATCTTCTAAACGAAGCCAAAATCCAAAAAATATTAAACGGTGTTTTTTTATTAGTCATTTAAATGGTCTAACTAATTGTGCTATCGAAAAGTGAAAAAGTCTGTGCCGTACATATTTTTTTGTTAAAAATTATTAAAGCACTCGTTCGCGCGCGCACCCTCCATCTGTTTACATCTTTTTTTTTTTGTTAAAAGTGTTGCTATTTTTAGACATATTTTACAACCAAAACTTCATTCAAATCGTTAAAGTTGTTTCGGAAATATTTTGAAAACAAAAAAAAAAAACAAAAAGAACAAAAAAGAACAAAAAAGAACAAAAAAGAACAAAAAAGAACAAAAAATAACAAAAAATAACAAAAAAGAACAAAAAAGAACAAAAAAGAACAAAAAAGAACGAAAAAGAACAAAAAAGAACAAAAAAGAACAAAAAAGAACAAAAAAGAACAAAAAAGAACAGAAAATAACCAAAAATAAAAAAAAATAAAAAATAACAAAAAATAACAAAAAATAACAAAAAAATAACAAAAAATAACAAAAAATAAAAAATAACAAAAAATAACAAAAAATAACAAAAAATAACAAAAAATAAAAAATAACAAAAAATAACAAAAAATAACAAAAAAGAACAAAATTAACAAAACATCTGCGGGCCCATGTTGATAAGAATTATTTATCTTGTTTTTGGGTAAGAAATCACCCGAGTGAAGGCACATGTTTTTTGAAACAAGGTGTCAATTTAAAACATTGCTTGGAAAAGGTAGATTTTTATCCCAAGGGAGACACCATTCTGTCATATTCTCAAATGTCATACGTCATTTCTCTCTCCGTCACACCCAGTGTTTCTCAAAATATTTGACGAGGCCCTAATCACATTTCTTAAAAAAAATGTTCTCCAGCAAAATCATATCCTCCTTCCTCTTAGTGACTTCTAAAAAAAGTCCTCAAGCCAGGTCCCTCCCTTTTGTGGCGATAGTACTGCTTCTTTTTTTTATTATGACTATTATTTTCTTCGCGGAGCTTCCACAAAGGCTTTGCGTAGCCACAGGGATCCTCCTTGGAATAAAAATCTACCTGTTTTAAGCAAATTTTGATATTCTTTTTTATTAGGAGATATTGACAAAGGACAGTTTTTAAATTGACATCATGTAAACGTATCTAAATGTATATTTAAAACCAGGGGTCTGATCTGGTTCTACGCCAGAAAAAGCCCGATTTTACTCCAACCACACATCTGCTTCAATTTTTTAAGCCTTCAAAAATGTTTATTTTACTTAGTACCTACATGAACTTAAACGATGAATATATTTTTTTCTACACCCACATGGATATTAGCTTATCTACGCACAGATTACAAAACGAAAAAGTATGCTATTGCCTTCAACTGAACGAATATATTTCATATCCATTATAGGTAGTGAGAACACTGCAAAAAAATGAAATCCACCAATCACCGTTCATATTTTAATCAACCGACAGCTATTATTTTTAAAATTTTAATAAGTGAAATATTCTTTTTTATTTTTTTTTCGTTTATTTTATTTTAAAAATTATTAAAAGTCATAAATTATTTTAAAAGTAGTTCTTTGGTCTTCATGACCTAAAATATTTTTTAATTTATAAATTTTCCTTAGTGGGTCGTAGAAAAAATATACTGTACAACTCTAGTAGATTGTCCATATCGCACTCAGACTCTTGAGCACTCCACCTACGGAGTCGTACCCAAATTTCGTCTTCGTGCGATATGGCCATCATAACCACTCTTGTTGCACAAACTACTATTGTTTTCATACATTCACTTTTTTCTGTGCTAGACTACCGTTGGAAATTTAAATGAGACTACGTGATCTACACTAATGTCTATTAATTTGTTAACTTCTGGTATCGACGAATAATTAACAATAATAATAATCGCAGTTTGTTCCCAGGGCAAAGATTTGTCAATTATTTTTATACATAATATACTTATATACCTACCAACCAACTCGTTATCATCTACTAATCTATTCACTTAGACGTGCACTATATTACTGGTAAAGGAGACCAAAATGAAACAACTAAAAAATAATATTTTTATGTTTTAAATGACCCCGGACTACTCTTACAAAAAATGGTGTTTAATGAGATTTTCCTCAAATTTGTACAGAATGTTGAAAATTATCGAAACATTATTTTGGTGCAAGGAATTCGTTTTCCAACGAGTTATGTACAATATACAGGGTGATTCATATCTCGGAAATTACTAGGCATAGAAATTTAGGGAAAAAATTTTTGATTAAGGTAGCCATGTAAAAATTAATTATTAAAAATCGAAATTTCTCTTAAAATTTCTACATTTGGTAACTTCATTAGAAATCTAAAACAATTCTACATCATTTTGGTCTAAGGCTTATTGGCCCATATTTATATGATTACCCTTTCGATAGCTATCCCTACTCTTATCAAGATCGGTACGTCAAAGAGCCTTAGAACAAAATGATGTTACCGAAGGTATACTTTGATGTGAGAATTTTCGGAGAAATGTAGATTTTTAATAGTTAATTTTCAACTGTGTCCCATTACGGCGAAATGCGAAACTTTAAAATAATTTCCAGATTTTTTCCTTGGGGTTGAAAAACACCCTATTTGACCTTGCAAGTCGATCTCTTTAACAGATATTAAAAATGGTCGCTAAGTTCACACCGGTAATTTCTATGCCCAGTAGTTTTCAAAATATAGCCAACCTCATTGAAACACCCTGTATTTTTCATAAAGATATAAAAATTAGTTTCTAAATTTTTAATCAGGTACCTACCTGCAAACATTTTTTTATTGATTTATTTATAATAATACTGATTGCTCCTTTTAGAACGCCTATGTCCATGTAATGTACTGTATTCAACGGAGCTAAACAATGCTCATTCTACCATACAGCCCGCATGCGCACTATTCATTGTTACTAATACACTTTCCTGTAGTAACTTAACTGTGTTAAAAGAACAATCTGCATTGAAATTAACATTAAGTGGTGCATTCTAAAGTAATGGAAAAAATAAGTAGAGTGCGTTTATTAAATGTGGTTCTTTGGATGTGGTTCTGGCTTATCAGGATTCTAATATATCTGATAGATAAGATTATTTTTATTGATTCCGAATACCCGCAGCGACTCGATTATAATAATTGTAATTCAGATAATGATCAAGAATTTAGTTGGTTCTCATTATTATGTACAGAAAACGCAAGGAGGGTCCCTTCGGCTTCCGGTGGTACTATGACTGTCTTACCTTCGGCCCATGATGGGCCCAGACGACACGATTTTGACGGTGCTGGCTTCGAATTAACGGGCATGGGCCCTATGGCTCTGCAGAACATCAGGGAACAAATGGCTTTAAGCCTTGAAAGAACCAAACAACTAGAGGATCAAGTCAAGTTGGTACCCGAACTCAAGGTATTTATACATTTACTTCTTAATGTTGTATCGTAAAATTAGGTCAGGTATAAACTTTTATTAACAAAAAATATTCTTCAATTTTATAAAATACGAAAAATTAAATTGAAAGTTTGTAAATTCTATATTAAATCAAGGGTTGTTTGTATCTTTTAAAATTTCAAAAGTACTAAATTTTACTGTATTTTTTATATGTTTGAGTTTTACTCTTACTTTCAATAATATTATAACTTTTTAACTATAAATAATAGAATAGTAAACAGACATTAAAAATTTCCTATTTAAAATATTTTATGAATAAATAGAATGTGAATTTAAATTTTATTTAACAAAAAAGATATTAATAGTAACCGTCATAATTTGTTTTTATTTTTTTAAATGATGTAGGCACTTAAAACGGTTGGGGGTCGGTGCTTGGGGGTAGGGCAGTTCGGGTGGATGAAGTGACACCCTTAAAAAATTAAGTAAAATTTTTTTCTAAATACAAACCCAATATTAAAAAAAAAATTCCAAAATTTTTTTTGGATTGAAAAATGTTTGACTTTAGGGGGAAAGTGGGGATAAGATTTTTATAGTAGGAACAATATTATAAATGTGCCAAATATGAGATTTTATGTGCTATGTAACCATTTTCAAATGTCAGGCCTCATATCTTAACTATGATGTTTCAAGTTGAACATTGTTCAATCTAAAAATGTTTGTTAAAATTTTTTACTGCTCGGGTTGAGTGGTGTAACGGCAGATTAAATTGAGATGGTGAATGGAATAATAGTGATATGTTCTCTGACAATGGCAGCAGAATAGTAAAATAATTACGTGGAAGATGCAAAAATTTGGATTTTCCTGTGGAATGGAGTGCAATGGAAGGTATCCAAATTGTAGACACAAGAGGATGTTTTCTAATTTTCATAGATTAGTCGAAAATGGGAATTTTCAAAATGGTCGAGGTCAAGGAAGACCACAAAATGACCATAATATGGAAAATGTTCTTAACTATTTTGAAGATGATCCTAATATTAGAACAATTTCAAGATTCACTCTAGTAAAATAATTACGTGGATTTTCCTGTGGAATGGGGTGCAATGGAAGATATCCGAATCGTAGACACAAGAGAATGTTTTCTAATCTTCATAGATTAGTCGAAAATGGGAATTTTCAAAATGGTCGAGGTCAAGGAAGACCACAAAATGACCATAATATTGAAAATGTTCATAACTATTTTTTGAAGATGATATTAGAACCGTTTCAAGACTCATTTATATTCCAGGTACAAGTGTAAATTATGGAATAAATAGAGTTAAAAACCTAATTCAAATCGCATGTATTGTACGAGTTCCGTCAGTTCAGGGGTTGCATCCCTATCATTTTCAATGGGTTCAAGACCTAAGAATCGAATTTTGTCATTGGATTTTAAATAATAAAACTTAACAGAATTTATTTTATGAACAGATGAGAGCATATTTATCAGGAATGGTCAAAATCCTTATATATTTGAAGAACTAATTTACACCATTGATTTTTAATTAATTAATTTGTGAGCTGGAATTATTGGCGGTAGATTAATTGGAACAATATAGATACCACTAATTGTTGTTATCTTCTATTTTTGTTTGAAAGATAACACTGATAAGATAAACTATGTCGCTACTTTTTGATTAGTTGCGACTCAGTACAAGTACAGGTACTCTTTAATTGATTTTCATAAAAATAATAACAATAATAATAATACAAGAAATTTCAATTAAAATTATCCATCCTAAACAACTTTAAAGGTGAATCTATTATGTAAAAACACAAAAGAAGTCAAAAATCATATAAAAAGGGACGTATTTTTGCTAATGTATGCTCGTTATAACTTTCACCCTCTCCTCTCTATGGTATTTTCAATGGAACGCCCTGTATATTATTGCATTTTTCCATTCTCCTCTACTATTCGATTCCAAAAATGTATACCGGCATAGCACAACACTGCAGTGCCAGATCGATCGAGCGACATGGTGACAGTTAACAAATTAAATTTTGGTTTTTGTCATATTTAAGACGCAAAACACCAAATAAAGGCAGTCATGAATAAACTCATTTATAAAATAGAGATATTTAGAGAGCACCTATTATACTCTATTTAAGAAGTTGGTAAAGGACCCAAATAAAACAGGCCAATCGTATTTAAATTAAGCCATTTTTACACCTGTTGATCGTCAAAAACCTCCGCCTAGTGTAAATCAAAAATAATAAAAATCGAGACGGTACAGCTGGAGTGATTACTTCTCGCCGACATGTTGCAGCCTGCAACGACACGCCATGGACATGTCGGTGAGTGTGAAAACAGTCCTATAAGCAAGTTCTGAAAATGGTGCCACTCCACCACAGCCAGCACCCGTACTGAGAAGGAAGATCTACAGAAACCGCCCTGTTACAGCTGACTGACTTAATCCAGGGTGCACTTGCATGCAGAGGAGTAGATAGCACCACATCCAGATGGATGGCTCGGCTGCTATCTACGAGAACTGCAAAGACACAAGGAGCCTAATCGTAGATAAACTTCTATGCAGATTGACTAACCTCGTCTAATCTCTTCACTGTGGTTCCAAGGTTCCATCATGACAGGTGTTCCTTCTTTCATAGGTTCTTGAAGCCGTGCTACTATAACGGTTTCACTTCTGCCAGGTACCACCGTATCCTCCTGTACATCAACTGGCACGGTACTGTCCCCATATGGATGTAGGAATACCTCTTCGGCACCAACTTTGATCACTCTGTTCTTAAAGTCCAACTGGAAACCATGTAAGTTCATTACATCCATTCCAAGAATAACATCTTGTTCGATATCAGCGACAATAACAGTATGAGTAAACTTTTCTGTACCAATTCCCAATTGAACGTGGATTTCCATATGGATGTTGGCACTTTAACCTGTGGCAGTTCGTAGTTGCAGTCTTGTTGGTAGGAGTCTCTTATGGTTATTTATGGTTGTTGGTCGTATAATGGTCCTAGTTGCTCCAGTATCCACTAACAGTGTATACTTTTTACCATTTACTTCGCCGTCTACGTATACACTATCATCGCGACATTTCAAAGAGGCTATCAGTATGAGAGGGTCTTTGGAACGGTTTCGGGTCGAAGCTGCCCCCTCTAGGCCGATCCGCTCTAGTTTTCCTGTGGCATGTTGTCTTGATTCGTTGTGACCCCAGGGCGTTTGCACGAACTGCGTACATGTCCGAGTTCACCGCAATTCCAGCACCTGATGGTCTTTGTCTTCATCTTTATGTCAGTAAGGCTCTTCATCATGTTTACCAGTTGGTCGAGTTTACCTTCCTCTTCTTCTTCTTTTTTTACAGTCCTTACTTTACTGTATCCACCAGAAGCCTGCGTAACTGCCTCATATTCTAAAGCAGCGGACAAGCCATCGATCAATGTTTTGTGGCGAGCTAAGCGGAGTGTTTTCTGTAGTTCTACCATCGATTAGGGTACTGTCAACTCACAAATGGAGCACATTTTGAACACTTGATAAAGTAACCATTATGTTAGAAATGTTTTAATCTTTCAATTGTTACGTTTTAAAGTAGATGAAAATAGTTTTTATTAAAAAATTTATTGAGACAATTAGGCGTTGCCAGACTTATTTTATTTATTTAAGACCTTCCAGACTACAAAAAATCATAAGTGTTACATATGGTTGAACTCGTATAGAATAGGAGATTCCAATAATGACTGAATATACAGGGTAATGAATTTGAAAAACCAAAGTGACTAATAATTTAAGAGAAACGGCAAATCTGGCAACATTGCAAATATCAACTCTGGAATCACCGTATTCCAAAATAGGTGTACCCCAAATTTTGTACAATTAGGACCAGCAATTTACGAGATTTACGTTTCCAGACTTTTGGGTCACTCTGTATATACAATAGATCTACAACTGTAAAAAAATTTCCACTTAAATATCGTGGCGCCTCGAAAAAAATTCCGGAATTTTTTTTTAGTTGCCATGGTAACTAGTCAAAATTAAAGAATCTCAGTGGTTGAAAAGTAGAGGTGTGAAATTTTCATTTAAATTCCCTATATAACGTTTTATTTTTATCATCATATGGTACACATTTTTGTATAGTTAAGAAAATAGATTTTTCTTTTTAAAAATATGTTTATTTTATTTGGAGATGAAGTGCTGATAACAAGAGGTTTATACATTTTGAACTAGGAATGAAGGAAGACGATTTGTGTAGTTTTACCGTTGATACTGATGAGTTGGATTATTGATTTAAAATAAACGTTTTACAAACCTACATTTTTCATCTAATTCTTTTTAGTTCGATAGCTACACAGTACATACAATGACGTTCTTGTGTGCAATAGGTAATTCCTTCAACAAAGCCAATGGCGTGTGCAGTTGATGAAACCCTTAGCCGTAACGGTTTATGTACTTGGCGGTAAATGGCTTACGTTATGAATCACTCCATGTTGATTATTAATCAAAAGCTGGTGAATTTTCCTTCGTTCGATAACTTGACTCAAGGTTTATTGGAGTTGTCATATTAATTCATCTGTGCTTTATTATTTTTATAAAAAATTGTTGAAAATCTCTTTAGTGTTTTGAATGTGCATTTTTTGTTAATTCACTCCGATGATTTATATGTTCCCGTAAGTTTTTAATTTGTTCTAAAAAAAACCTGCATTTTAATCGGTATCTTTTACATTTTTTATTCACAGTAATAATGCAACAACTAATTACTTTAAAATATATTAACATTTTCTCTATAACATGTTTAATTCTGCTTTTTAAATCGATGTAGGCATTTTAACGAATTTTTAGTGCCACTTTTTATTTTCATTAAAATCGTGCCCATTATGTAGGTATCAATGTTTAAGTAAAACCACCTACTTATTTATTGGTTTTCTTAAAGAATTAGCTCGAAAAATTTTGATGGCCATGGGTGCCGTTTGAATTTTTTCGAGGGGGCATAGGTACAATTTTGTGAACCTAACTTTGCATAATTTTTTTTACAAGCTTGGAAAGGTACCGCACACACGCACTTTTTTTATGAAGAAATGGTACTATATTAAATTTTCTAAATTTTTCACATGTCGTTCCTTCTGAACAAAAGCGTCCACAAGCTCACTATGACTAGTTTTTTATATAAAATTACAAATTGACCATTTTTTAAGGCGACACTTCTTTACAAAGTATCTACCCACTTGGATTACAGATATTTTCCAATAATATTGCTTTACTGATGTCAAACAGTATTTCCAGCCTATGACGTACAGTATTGTTAGTTATAGGTTTAGTCACAAATTAATAAAAATGGAATTTTAATTTTTTCATTTGCACAGGAATATTTTTCATTTTTTAATATCAACAATCCAAATGTTTTTTGTCTATCTGTCTTTTATCTGTATTTTTATATCGCCTTTATTTTGGATCTACTAATAAAGTATAATAGCCTAGTAACGGTGACAAACTAATGGATGAATTTGGTTAAAAATTGGTTAAAAATCCATCTAAAATATTTTGACAATTCTGCCGGAAGTAGATGTCAATTTTCTCATTTTCCGGATTTCGATAGAAAATAAAATTTTAGTTGTCATATTGTTTAATAAAGTGTATAGCTAAAATTGGTAAATTATTTTCGAAAAAAAAAAAAATGTTTCTGGCTAAAGTTAGTTAAAGTTTCAAATATTTTTAATTGAATTATGATAAAGAAGATAGTAATAAACTATTACATGACATTAAAAGATTTTTGATTATATAGGGTGAGAAAAAAATATTTTTAAATTTCGATTTGACAAAACATCAATATATTTTTGTAATTATTTCATCATATTCTACGTCCAAAAATAAGTGGAATTCGTGTTTATTTCCCTATACTCATCTAGGACTAACCTATACAATGAGGTATCACAAGATAGGCCACTTCATTTAAGGTGGTGTGCAGGGATGAAATGGTGACAGCAAAATATGTGCCCCTCTCAATAAAAATAGTTGATAGTGCAGGAAAGGAACTCCCCAGGGATTGTTAACCTGTCCCTTTCTCCCTCCCCCAGCCGCGCCCATGTTGATGGCATTTTAATAATGTCCGGTTTAAGTAAATTTTATTTTAAATGGAGTAGTCAATTTGTATTTAATATTGCTAATAAAAATATAGTTAGAAAGAAATAATTTTTCCAAACTAAATATTTACTGATTAATTTGAATTCATTTGAAACTCCTAGAGACGTTTTCTAAAATAAACTAGACATGTAACAAATAAATTGTAATCAGTAAATATATTTGTCCTATTATTCCAATTTACTATTACTTAAATTAGATAATCAGTATTATTCCTGCTTTCTAACGTATTCATAAATCCAAATTGAAGATGAGTAATCCCTAATACTTTTATCATTTGTCATTATCACACAGATAAAAAAGTTATTTATATATTCATTGTTGTATAAAATTATTTTCAAAATATTAAGCATTTAATAATTCTTAAAATTTTTCTTAATAGTTGACAAATCAATCTGTTATAAGACTCTTGCCTAATATTATTTAAAGTTTGAGGTTAAATATTACTTATTTTTGTTATACTTTCTATGAGATCTGTAATGCTAGTTGGCTGTGTTGCATATAATTAATTTACTCTTGAGGTAACCCCACTAAAAAAAAATAAAATGGCGTAATATCTGGTGCTCTAGCTGGCCACTCAATAGTACCTTTTCATCCAATCTATTTATTGGGAAATATTTCGTTTAGGTAAGCTCTTCATGTATTTGGATATAAGTTAGCCAAAACAGAAACAACAAGAATATTTGATAATATTACTGGTAATCAGTGCATGTCATCCTCGACTAAAGAGTCTAGTTAGTTCTGTATCTGTAACGTGTGGAGGGTGGATTGCCTCCACGGCACTTAGGCCTCATTAGGCACATTGTGCATCCTCCTAAGATGATAGGCACCTCCTAGCTCGTGAGCCAGCCTACAGATTTCATGTAGTTGACAACGTCGCCAAGAGGTGCTTCTCTTATATCGGCTGGTGTTAGCCGATACTCGCCGAACACAAATCTTCTAATAAATGAGAGCATCGAGTAATCGTATGCTCGGATATGCTCGATGGTCTCATCTTCTTGTTCGCACCCTCTGCAGAGTATATGGAGATGCTTCCGTACTTGGCAATGACCAGTCAGAATGTATGTGGCTAGGCGCAAAATCTGACTAGTCATAGTCAAGTATTTGTTTGCTACAGTGTTGTCAGGATAACTTAAGAGCTCCCTGGCAACTCTGCAGTTTCTTGTTTCATCCCATCTTTCCTTGAATTTCACAAGGTAATGTTCTTTAATTAGGTCTGTCACTACCGATTTTGTCAGGCCAATAGAAGGGCCAGGTCCAACAAGTATTTGGTTGGCTACTTTCTTGGCTAGATGGTTACCTTTCGATGCGGCGTGACCTTTGATCCATCTTAATTGTTGATACTTCGGCCAAAGCTTCGTAACATTCTAGTACTAACCCTGAGTAAATTCGTGGTCTGTTCAGGGTGAGTATTGCTTGTCTGCTATCTGTATAGATGAGCATGTTTCTTACAGTGATGTTTTTTCTGGTTATTTCTTTTGCTGCTATGAGAATCCCCGTTAGATCTGTTTGAACTACACTGGCACTATTGCTCACAGCCCATTTTATGTTTAGGTTTAAGAATCTAGAGTATATTCCACATCCTGAGCTTTGTTTTGTTTTAGAACCGTCGGTGTAGATATAAATCTGGCTTCTTCTATTTGTTATATTATAACTTTATATGGCTTATGGAAGATATATTTCGGTGAGATGGAGTCCATGTTCGCTTGAAGCAGTGGGAACGTATCGAGCGCCTCCTGTCAAAAGCAACGTCTCGCCTCACCAGATCCTACATCAGGTTCTATTCCAACCGTGCGAAGGCGTGTCATTGTCGTCAGATCAACCTCCTCGATGTAAATATCAAGGGGAGTGAAACTAAGAGTGACTTCCATGGCTCTGGTCGGTGTTGTATTCATGGCTCCTGTTGTATTGAGACATGCTATTCTTTGAATTTTTTGTAGTTTACAGATAGCTGTTAATATGCATGTTGATTTGAGTGTAATGGTGTTGTTTTAATCACCGCATCCCTTATGTACCTTTCGCGTAGCCTTTCCAATGTCTTCATGGAAAACGATGTCAGACTAATTGGTCGGTATGTTTTTGGGACAGTGTAATCTAGTGTAGTCTATTTGATTTTCTAATGTGACATAATTATGCTTCTAATTTGTACTGTATACTTATTTTAATTTTGATTATAATTTAATCAATTGGTTGACTTATTGTTTAATATAAATATGCCTACACTACTCTCCATTTTTTTCTTTTATGCCTAGCTAGGTAGAGTTCATCAAAAACTCCTCTCATATTAATATTTTCGAAACTATTAATTATTATTATTATCATTATTAGGACCAAGTTAATTTCCTTAAAGAAGAAAATCGGCGGTTGCATATACGATTGAAAAACGAAGAAACAAACAAGCTCAATTTAATAAATGGTAACTACGTTCAACCTCAGTACAACCGCCAAAGGTCCCTGTCATTTACAACCGTCAACAACATAGAAACTTCCATGAAAAAAGAATCCTCTCCGCCACCTCCACCTCCTAGGAAAGATTTTGGTGTAATGTGTGGCGTTTTAACTAGAAATATTGGAGTAGGTCATCAATCGCCTCACACAAAATCTGTCTCAACTGGAACCGTCGACAACGAGTTTACGGACAAGTGGTATCAAGAAAAAATCAAGTTTATGAACAATCAAAATATACTTAGCATTCAAAAAATCACGTCATCCAAAAACACCCAAACGACATTCCAAAGAGGCAGGAGGGATGTTGGTATTCAGTTTAAATTTGAAAAACCCGTTTGTCCGAAATCCAACACCTATACCCAAACGGATAATAAAACTTTGAGTGATAAAGCTGTTTTAGCTACATCTAGGGTAGCAGATGTATCGATTCAAAAGTGTGTGGAATGCTATTCGGTAGGTAGCTCAGATGACACTGTCAGCGATATTATCTGCGATAAATGTAACGCTCTTAAAAGGTCCGTGGGTGTAGGTCCAGAATCCAACGAAGATAGTCATACATCCCCCATATCATTGGCGTGTCTAACTTCTAGAAGCAAATCCTTTAATATGGGAGAAGATAGACTGAATCTTGTTACTAGAACACGTACGATAGCATCACAGTATGAACCAAATAGTATTAACAGAACTTGTCAGGTAAGATATTGTTTTTATATTTAATTCCAGATTCCGCAATGTTTAAGATATTTAAAAAATGTTTTTTTGTAGAAATAATTGAGACAACAATACATTTGATTAGCAAATAGTTTATTGAATCGAAAAAATATCTTATCTTGTGATTTTTTGCGGTTTAAAGATTATACTAGTGTTTCATATTCTTTTTAAAGATAACAATCGCTGTTTTTTTAAATTACCAAATAAATAGCATGTTATTTACAATAATTATCGTGCAATTAAACTGTGACTTTAAAACACTCAAAAACTTTTTTTACATGTAGTTTTATATATGGTGTATTATTGAAATACATGTATATATGTATATTAAAAGTGAAACTTGCTAAAAAATAAAATCTGCAAAAAAATAAAAACACGAAAATTCGTTATGGTTGTGAAAGCAATTTTTAATGATTTTCTCGTGGATTCCATGGTCAGATTTTAAACAAATTTATATGGGGCCAACCCTGAAATACCCCTTTAAAAAAAATCATAGAAATAGGACAAGTGGTAAAAAAGTTATCATACATAAAAAAATATTCGGATGAATAACTTAAAAGCTCCCTGGCAAGTCGGCAGGTTCTTGTTGCATCCCATCCTTCCTTGAATTTCACAAGGGAATGTTATTTAATTAGGTTTGTTACTACCGATGTTGTCAGTCCAATAGAAAGGCCAGGTCCAAAAAGTATTTTGTGGTGTGGTTTTCATAGCTCCTGTTATGTTGAGACATGCTGTTCTTTGAATTTGTTCTAGCTTGCGGATAGCTGTCAATTTTCCAACTGCACCGTATGTTAGCCGTGAAAGTCCATTCGCCGACTTTGGGGAGAAACCCCAGGTGCGTCCCACGGTTCATAAACAATATATGCTCTTTTGACTCTGTTTTATTAGTGTCAATTCCATGTTACTCATGCGCAAATCCTAATATGAGTGGGATTATTAGAACAATATTTTTGCACATTCTAGGAGAGTCTAAATATTATTCTCTTTTAATATGTACATGTATTTCAATAACACCCTTTATTCCTTAGTTTTATACATACATAATCAAACAAAATATTGATTTATGCTTTAAAAATGAAGGACCCATTCAAATTAGACTGAAATATTTCAGGTTGACCTCCGGAAACCGTCCTCGACGAAATCGTGTCAATTCGAACCTAAAAAATCCGAAAAAACTACTCAATCCGAAAAATACACAATTTCAAGGCACACAGATACACAAGACTTAATAGTAATAAAGAAACATGTCGGCTGTGAAGCTAAAGAGCAAAAACCAGATGGAGTAGATAAGGGTTGCAATACGGTAGACGTAGCTGAAACGATGACGGTTTGTACAAAATGTGAAAGGGATAAAGATGACGTTAAGGAACTTTTGAAAAAAGACGATGGTAGTCCGACACCGTCTAGGATACCTAGGCCGCAAATACCTACTACCCCTGTAGAAATTAGAAAGTTTAGAAGGCAAGATACTTATACCAAAGTATATTCACCAACTGAAAAGACACCCCCTTCACAAACAAGGTAAGTTACTTAAATATACCTATATATCTTTAATTGGTACTATTGAGAAAAATTACATATTTTTAATATTTGACGCTACATGAAAAGTAATGCTTTTTGCTCCATTTTGTCTGTTAAAATTACCAGTATCACCTTGTATACATAAAACGTAATATGTTTCCAAGAAAAAAAAACCAGTAAACAAAAATTATTTCGAAAATTCAAAATGTGCGAACACAAATTCCACCCCAAATTTTGAAATGTTAATAATCCAAATTTTAGTACTGATAACTTTTGACTGCCCACGTATACCACTGGTAGTAGGTTAGTACTAAACTAGGTGCCCTATAATACCTCTGTACATTTTACAGAATACAATAGATAGGTATTTATTGATTTAATTCCGCCGACAGCTGACCTTAAAACGTTCTAATGTGGTATTGATTTATTTGTAAAGAGGTTGTAAGCGGTTAATTTTTGTTTTTTTTTTGCGAAACCAAGGGCTTTAAGATATATTTTCGTAATGATATTTTCGTGACAGCAAACATCTGCGACTGTGATATATATAAATCAATTATTTCAACGATTGTACAGAACTATCAAGCAGGCGCAGAACCGTTATTAAAATTCCTTAAACGAACAGGGTAGGCTTCCCGTATATTTTACAATAACTGTCAGCAACTAATAAAATTGTATGTTTTTATTAGATGTCCTTTTAAATCCAGTAAAATTATTGAATATACTTATTCTAACTTTTAAATCGAGGTTGACCATGTAAGTTTGGCACTGTGTGTTAAACATAAATATATTAATTAATATTTTTTAGAGGTTATGATTGGAAGCTGTTCTCAAATTATCAATTATAAAAATATCAGGACTAAATTAGGGAGAGTATTATTATAATAGAAATTTTCATTATATCCCTGTTAAATGATTGTTTTTTGCCCAATTTCGAATATACTTATACATATGCACTATTTGGAATGCTTTAAAAGATTATAAGCTATTACTACTGCTGTTATATACTATTAGAAGAAAAAGGATTAGTCATTGAAACTAATTTCAGAAGTAGATGAAATATGCAGAACTTTCGTTAATGTTTCATAATTACAAATATAAATAGATATAGTAATACATAATTAATAAGTAACATAAAATTACGTTCTTCAACATTGAAGCCACTTAGTATTTTTTCCTTTAAGCATTTAAATAACACATTTAATTTATCATCATTGGTCGCAGAATATGCTAATTTTAATGACTTGCTTTTATACTGGAAGATGAAGCTTTTTACCACAGTAAAAATATTACAAGACACTACCATAGTCAATTTTTGTTAACAGAAAATTAAGGATTTAACTGTAGGTAAACTACTAACAAATTATAGTGCAAATAATAGTACTTAACCTGTCATATTTAGACAGCAGATCTAGAAGTACCGTAGAAAATCCTTTTGGTATTTTAACTATACAATATTAAATACTTTCTGTAAAAAAAATTAAATATTACAGCTGTTATAGCCTAATCATTACTGGTTGTATTCAAATAAATGAGGTTTCCTTAAATTCATTTTTTTGCTGAGCTGTTGGCGAAGAAGAACTTTAACAATTTAACAATTTTCTAGCCATCACCAACCAGCCAAACAACTTAAAATTATTATTTCTCAGAATTAATTTGAATTTATAAATTTCTAACGTATTATAAAATGCATTGACACGACTGGTGTATGACTCCCATAGCCAACTTAAATGGTTCCTACTTCTCCCTCTTCACATTATACTCGAAGGGTGACAAAATCCTTAATTAACTGAGAGGGGTTCACAAATACCGAGGGCAAGTGACCCGGCGTCACGTCTCATTCTGTACATTTTATGTTGAAGGCATCTTCTAATTTTATTCAGAATTCCTCAACATAGTAACATTACGGAAAGTGAGCTTGCCTTGTCAAAAGAGGGTTAAGAAATCTGTTGATATGGCCAGAAAAAATTCATTATTAATAAATAATCGGCAATACTTATGTCTAGTCGTTCACTTAAAATGTTATAAAATTTGTTATAATAATTATATCTATAAGTATAATATAAATATGTCTCTGAAATTTTGGGGTATCGTAACGGAAGTATCTTTTTGGGGTTGGCAATGGCAGTGGTGCGAGATACGGGCCTGGTCAAGGGTGGCCAAGCTAAACATGGTGTGCGGCAACTTAGGTTAAAAGCTTTTATTTTCCCATTTATTTTGTTATGACTTGAAAATAGCAAAATTTGTATTTTTTCTAATGTTAACATCTATGGAAAGGAATCAAAATGCAAATTGTTCATACATGCATCAACATATTTTACTTACAAGGTAATATATAATATAATATCAAACTTGTTTAAATCGCCTGCCTATTCTTATGTTATTATTACAATAGATTTTTTATATGTGTATATCAATTGTTATAAATATACAAGGTGGTGTCAATAAGTAGAAATATTAAATTATATCTATTTCATTTATTAAAATATTTTTCAGATTGTCTGGTTTAGATTTATCGCCTAAAGTCATATCAAACGAAACAACTCCCCTTGATAAAGTAAAAACTAACCTGAAATTAGGAGAACCAATCTCATATGCTCAAAATGGTGTCAATTCTACAGCTCCAATTACGAAAGTTCAAATACAAGAGATTACACTGCCCACATCAGAATCTACAATTTTCCAAAATAGAAAAAAGTAAGTAAAGTTATTCACAAAAACAAGAAATTATACCAATTTGTTAAATTAACATTTATATGCAGTAACTGGAGAATCTTTGGTCCTAAATATAAAGATTGATCCTAAAAAAATGGTTAAATAAATATTACTACTCATCCTTATAGTTATTTTAGACAAAGCCACATTTTGAGACAAATCCATCGTCTTTTTCACTTTCCTCATACTAAAATATATTCCATTTATACAGGATGAGTCAAAATTACTTAGACACACATATTGCCACCTTTTTATTTCTCAAATTTGTGAAATTTCAAGTCCTTCTGTTGAGCTTCTAAACCAAAAAAAAAAGGGTCCTCAGCCTATAATATTCCAGATATTCCCGGACATATTTTCATCATTGTTCAAAACCCGGACAGTCCGGTTATACAGGTAGCATCCCTATACCCACACAATATTAAGATTTGACCATTTTCGAAATACAGGTTGATTTAAAAAAGTAATTTAAAATGAAAAAATCAGTTCGTCAGAGAGCTTTTGGTTTTTGTATAAGTTTTTCTCGTTCTATTTTAGAATCAAAAAATATCTGTAAATATTTAGTTTCAAAATCTATGATCTCGAGCAGTTAATTTTATTTGACCCTAGGATTTTATTTTTAAATAATTTCCAGAATGTTAATTTAGTTAGAGAGTCTTGCGTAATGCCAAATTGACTTATTTCTCTATGTCAATATTTATGGATGTTGTTTTTGCATTTTGGCCACTAAATTTTTAATAAAAAAACCGACTTCAAAATCGTGCAGATGCCCTTAGAAATTGAGATTGTATACTACCTCTGAGGTATCCCCTTTCTAACAAAAAAAGAATCATAGAAATCGGAGAAGGTGGTAAAGAATTACCGCTAAACATACATAAAAAATGAAGAGTTTGAGGATTTTCTCATGGACCCAATTATTAGATTTTGACCAAATTTATTGGTGACCACCCCTGAGATACCCCTTTACTAACAAAAAAGAATCATAGAAATAGAACAAGGTGATAAAGAATTATCACTGAAAAAAATAATACGACGAATTGAGAACCTCCTCCTTTTTTTGAAGTCTGTTAAAAAATTAGCAACCTGTACACCTCGGACCATGCCTTTGGTTGGGGAAGTTTTGAGAAGTTCAAACGTTTCTGCCAATAACAACATTTTACAATTTTTAAACCAGTGCTTATGACAAAATTTCTTCACTTTTAACAACATCACCTATGAACAACCGGATGGCCTTGCTATGGGATGTGGCCTATCTCCTCTAATCGCTGATATCTTCATGAACCATCTAGAAACCAGCTACATTATTCCACAACATAAGAATATTTTAATTTACCATAGATATGTAGATGACAATTTTTGCCTAATAAATGGTGATGCCAACACAGCTTCTAATATTTTAAATTCAATCAACACTATCCATCCCAATATAAAATTCACTCTGGAAGCCGAAAAAGAATGTTGATTGAACTTTTTGGACCTTTCTATCCACAGACAGGGTAACAAATTTGAATTTAGCATATTATATAGAAAACCCACCAACATAAAATGTCTGCTTTCTATTGCTATATTCATAGACTTCTATCAATCCCTCTAAATAAAACTAACTATCTTCAACGTAGATAACATTAAGTCTCTTTCAAATCAATTAATAAATTAGACTCTCATCTAGTCAACACCAAACACAAAACATTTGTTAGAAAAGAGTGTACAGATTGCAATGCAGCGATTGCGATGCCAGTTATATTGGCAGAACTTGCAGATCTTTGGGAGTCCGGATAGGCTAGCACATCAAGAAGCCGGACAAATCTGTATTTGGACATCACTTGAGGTTAAATCAACATAATTTTAGCCCAACAAAAAAACTCCAAAATATTAGTCAACTTGAACACAAAAAATTTCAACTTATTAGATTTCCATGAAGATGTTGAAATTACCCTTGAAAGAGACAATAATATCCTCTGTCTCAACACTCAAGTAAACCTTAACAGAAATTTCATACCACTCCATAGACAACTCAGTTAACCCTCTATGATGATGTAAGTCCGAGTCGCTCAATATAAGCCTTGAGAGCCATCCCCTCCTACACTCGATTTCACCCATCAGAGCTTACCTTTAGAACCATGGTACTTGTATGACTGTGACTAATGTTAAAAAAGCATTAAAAAGTAATTAATGGCTCAAATTTGGGAAATATATTCAAAATAGTGCTATTTAAGCATTCATGTATTTTCATTGGATTTTTTTTCTCAGAAACTGGAAGGAAATAAAATTTAAAAATATGAGCATCACTAGATTATATATTTTCATAAAATTTGAAATTTTTTAACGAAAATACTTTTTGAGACATCCTTTTCCGTAAATATTTAAATATTGTTTCTCTAATCAGTCTTGCTACTGAATCTTAAAACAAATTCACCTCCATACCAAGCAAATCTAGCCAAAACCTTCGAAATTTATTACTGGTTGGTTAAATCTTATTATTGTGTGCCCAAAGATTATCTGTTACTGTCTTTTTATCTTGCTCTGTATAAATGATAATTAATCGTTATTGATGATTTTGTAGGGTTGTGCCAAGTAAAGAAATGCAGGGTGCAATGAAGGTGTTAAACGACTCTCTTATGAAAAATCAATCGAAAAAGTTGCCAAACCACAGTGCAATAAACATAGTCCAAACAGAGTGGTTTAAAATATCAAGCTTAGTAACAGCCAATCCATTAGATGTAGAAGATTATTTAGATGCCCTAGAAGACATGTCAAGTCTCTTATTAGAATACGTAGTGAATATGAGCGATTCAAGTGGGAATACAGCTATGCACTATGCAGTATCTCATGGCAACTTTGATGTTGTATCTATTTTGCTCGACTCCAAAGTATGTGATATCAATAAACAGAATAAGGCTGGATATACGAGTGTCATGTTGGTTTCCTTGGCTGAAGTGCGATCTCAAACTCACGCAAATGTTGTTAGGAGATTGTTCCAATTAGCTGATGTAAACATTAGGGCAAAAAAAGTATGAACTTTAATTTCTATTTAAATAAATATATTGCATCGTGGGCTTACAAGTCAAAAATGTGTCAAAATGAGTTTATATTTTTGTACATCATGTAAAAATAGTGCATTGTATTTCTAAAGCATATACATTTTCTTTGAAGCAATTGATAACCCTAAATAATTTATAAAAAAAATTAGAATGAAACTTTAAATTGCTTATAACTCATAAACCAATTTTTTGACTTTATGGTATAATTTTAACTATGTTAAAATAATTCATGATTACGAGCATTGTAATTTATTCCTAATTTGCATTAATGAGAATTTTCGTGTTTACTAGCATGGTCAGACGGCTCTGATGTTGGCAGTAAGCCACGGACGATTGGACATGGTAAAAATGTTATTAGAAGCAGGTGCAGACATAAATATACAGGACGAAGATGGCAGTACAGCATTAATGTGCGCTGCTGAACACGGCCATATTGAAATAGTCAAACATTTCTTATGCCAACCCGACTGTGAATCTACTATTATTGATGTGGTACGTATTTGTTGTGTAAAAAACTTTCATTCAGCAGTAATTGAAAACTTAATTGTATTGTACAATCTTCAAAAAATCAGAAATAGTGTCTTTACTATTTCCTGCAATTTCTCAGTTACCTATTTATAATAAGGCAACAGTTTATAAAATTAATTTTATTCAGTAATATAAAAATATTTGTTAAATTTGATTATAACTTATTTATTGTAAAAATCTACACACATAAAGACAATATGAAATAGAATATTCTACGATACGCGACTGTCAGGTGTTATATTACAGTACTCGTTTATATTCTGGACTTCAGACATTTTTAAAAATCATGTTAAAACTGATAATTATGTGGTGACTGAAAACACTGACATTATTGTGTAATTGATTATACCAAACATGTTTGCTCTTTCAGGATGGCAGTACAGCTTTAAAGATAGCAATGGAAGCAGGCCATCGACACATTGGAGTACTCCTCTATGCTCACGAACGAAATCATCAAAAGAGTCACAACTCTAAGATGAAGAAAAGCAAATCAATAAGCAGCCCTAAAACCCCATCCTCACCATTAGCTGTTAGAAGCAGCCACCGTGCCTTAACTGACCCAAAATCTAAATAGTAACTACTAACTATTTATAGTTAACTGTGTTTTTAGGATTATTAGAATATGTGTGTGTTTTAAAATTCACTGTTAATCATTGTAGTATCTATCTACCTTCATATTTTATGACGGGTATTATTGGAAAATACAATGACTTTTCTTTCGTATTTGAGATTAACAAAAAATATTTTAAATTTAAGCCAAAAGTAAAATTTAGTGTCGGAGATTTAAAAGCTGATTTTTTATTTATAATAATAGAAGAATTAGTCATTGTGTTTTCTAAAAGAAAGTTTAGATTTACTGGTCTCTCATGTTTTGCTTATTACCTACTTTTGGTATAATATTAGAGCTTATTTTTTATGTTTACTGTGTAAATGTATTCAAAATAAGTTAAAAAATTATTTTTTTGCCAACGGGCATTGAACGTTTGATTTTATATGGCACTAAATCCCTATTGAACATACAGGGAACAGTTTTAGTGCTTCTACATTCATCTGACAAAATTTTTATATATTTTAAACATAAGGGTTGAAGTTTAACAAATTTTGATGAGCAATAGCCGATATCAAACAGCAATAAAGTCTTATATGAGCTCTAAATTGATATGTCAGGGAGACGCGGTGTAGTTTTGCACTAGATTGGCATTATTTGATACAGAAATCTACCTGAACTCTTTTAAGTGTCATGCTTGGTTTCTGAAACATTTTGACAAAGTAGCGCGCTATCGAGGTAGGGGCAACCTTTATCTCCCTATTTTTAGCTTATAAGATGAACTATTTTTTAAATTGTTTTCTTAAATCTTTAATTTTTATTTAAAAAACAAATATCTTTAAAAGAGCTGGAATAAACGGTGTTTTAGTCTGTAGGTAATTATTTGTGTTTGTGAAATATCAAGTTATGGCTTCAGATTACAGAAATATTACTCAAGTTCTCTTGCTTAAATCAATACTATTAAAGAAAAAAGAATAAGTTTAAAATAAAAAACCGTTTTTGATTTCTCAATTTTTTTTATTTCAACATGTATCTCAGTAACTAACACTTAAAAGAATTAATAGTTTCTGTATTACATTTTGTCGGTAAAATGTCGTTACACCCTGTATATATATTTTCAGATATCGAATAATGTTTCCTACAAAAAGATCGAAACAAAACATGTAAATATCTCAAGATATTGTAAGTGACCAATAAATCCTAAAATAATAAATGTATATTTCAACGAAGTGTAAGAACAAATGTTTTTATAGTATTTTGTAGTGTTTTGTATAGTATGAATGCCACTGACTATGGTGTAGCTAGTCCATAATAATTAGTTGTTGTTGATATGTTAATATTAAATTTTAAAATTCGTTAAACAGTTATTTGTGAACGTATTGTTATAATGATTGTATTGAAATTTTGCATTTGTTTATTCAGGATATTTTTGAAATACATGTAAATTGTAAAACGGGTACTAAATGTTTAAAAACAAATGTCAATAATTTTCTTCTTCCTTTTTTATGGGCTCAATATGTGAGGATTGTTTACCTAGTATGTTTTTATTTTTTTCGATTTTGTTATGTGAAAAAAGTTGCGTCTGACTACTGTCATCACTTTTTCCACTTAAATATTATTTTGCAATTTAGACACTGAATATAAATAGCAACCCACAAATTGAACGTATGAAATCTTAATGGTTGGTAAGTATATTCTATATAAAACGAATTTAAAACGTCTATTCTTTTTTTTTTAATAAAAATAATTTTAATATCGCCTCCCATGGCCCTCTCCCTGGAACCGCTTTTGATAAGTTGAAGCATATTCTAGAGAATTAAGCTAAAATTTTGTTCCTGTCTTTTTTTTTAAAAGATATGTAAAATATGGATTAGGGGTCCTATAGTCAAAGTAAGTTACTTTATTGCAACCTTTTTAAAAATAGCCAATTTGCAACTTTAACACCCTGTATATCATAAACTATAAGACTGTAATCATGTGATTACTTATAAAATTAAATAAGTTTATCTCGAATTAAAATCAAAAATAAAATTGATGACACTACAAATAACGGTTCGAAATGCAAAATCAAAACGCTTGTCCATAACAGACCCACAAGGGAGCTGTTGGAATTGAACAAAATTCAGCACATTGATATATTTAAATTAAATAATTTATAAACTAACCTACCTCAACATGGCATTTAAAAAACGATTTTAAGGCCTTTATTAATAGTATTTTTAAAAAATATTTTTTTTGTATTTATAGAAAGTACATGTATTTCAAAATCACCCTGTATCTATGTACCAGAGTTCAACGAATTTTTGCAAATGTTAAATGCAATAATTTAGAAGATCTCTTTTGATCGACTGAATCAGATCTTGTTTGCAAATTTCATAGAATGTTTGGTACTATTTATCGAATTTACTTAAATTGTTCTGTTTGTTAATAGTTAGGGACCATATTTTTTAATGTTTACCAAAATTTCAGTGCTTGTTAACATTCCAATTAATACCTATACCTGTCTCACAAATGAAACTGGATGAAAATAGAGTGTAACTGTGAGATTTGTAAAAATAAAACTAATTATTTACATAATTAATCACCAAGTACCTACCTATCATTTGTTGAGACATCTTGTATGTAATGTAAATTTTTTGTATTTTTAGTTAACCTTGCCAAATCCTATTATTTGCATTTTATATTGCCTGTATTTTTTATTACATTTTAAACAGTAACGTTTATTTTTACCAAAATTAATAAACATATATGTAATAGACTTACTTATACAAGGAAGATGATGTAATCTGAAATAAAAATTATTAATTAAACATATAATACATCTTTTTCTACACCCACATGTATAGAGTGACCTACAACAATCTCAAAAAATAGTGGTACCTACCTATTGAAATATTTTGAGGCCTAAAAAGTCACAAGGACAATTTGTTTGAAAAAAGAACTGTACTTTTCAAAAAAGGACAGGTAGGAACCCTAGGTGACCATATTTATTTTGATTCAATGCTGAACCCTGAACACAAATACAATATTGACGATGAACTACCAACATATTATTTGTTGTTTTAGTAAATTATGTAGGTATAGGCCGGACAATAATGACATTTTGCTGTACAAGATCAAATACTTTGAAAATGTATAATACAGGTAAATGCTGTACATATGGTCACCTTAGCCTAGGTTATTTCCTGGGGGTAGCTTCTCTGCAATATTAACTATACAATTTAAAAGTATTGTTGATGGATACTGAGTATTTTTTCTATGGGACCACCAAAAAAATGCATCAAAAACTCTACCCTTAAGGGTAATTATGAATGTATTTGTCATTAAAAAGTAATACTTATAGCTCTCTCTTATATCTCAAAAACTGGTGATAGAAAATTGATATATAACTTCACACTTTATTAGAAAACACAAAATAAAGGTAATTTTAAACATTTTAACTGATGAAATGTTAAAATAAAGGGCGAAAGACACAGGTAAAAAGCAAAAGTAAACATTAAAAGTCCATTTACCTGTTACTTATCTTGTATATAACTAATAATACAAGTTATGTCATAGGTTGTATGTTATATGGTTATACTGTGCAACAAGTGCAGAAAGTAATCTATTCCACACAATGTGTGAAACTTTTGTGGCAAGAACGAAAGTTTCATATATTGTGTGGATTACTAAGTTTTTTTGCAGGAGCAGTACATTAACTTTTTCTATGAACACAATGAAAGCTGTCCCCTGCCTGCCCACTCAAATAAGCCAAAATAGTTTCTGAAAAGGACATTATTAATTTATTTAAGAAAAAGGAGTTTACCTAATTTTGTTGGAGGCAATCCACAAAATCGTAAATAAGCAAGTTCTGTTTTTTCGTCGATGTTTGAGGCAATACGCAAGAAGTCTTCTGTAATATGTGGTAGAGTATTATCACTACTATTTACTGTCACTGTCTATAATTTATAATATTAATTTTCAACAATATTGAAAGAAAAATGACAACATTTGAAATGTCATAAGTACATAAAATCCGGTAACTTTATTTGAATTTTTTTGTCACTTGTGTACATAGGCAACCAACATTACAGAAATTATAAATCATTTTACGTCTCTTTCTAAATTAAATAATTTTTTTAGTAATGGACTAATATAATGTTTTTATTTGTAATATAATTGTCAATATTATCGAAAGAAAATAAATGTCAATATGTAGAATCCAGTAACTTGATTTGAATTTTTATGTATTCACTTTTATACATAGGCAACCAACATTACAAATCGCTACAAATTTCCTAAAGAATCACCGAAAATCATGACCGAAATCAATTTTTCGTTCTCAGATATAAAAGCAGCAGGTGTGGTGAATTAAAAAACAATAGAGAGCCCAAAAAAGATACATTAAGAACCATGTGAGAAGCCCAAGAGAAAAAAGGTCATATTTAAAAAGAAAATGTATATATAATTTATAGGAAATTATACTATTAATGATTTCTCCAAAAATCGTATAAAATTGAGAGGGATTTCGACAAAATCACTGAAATCGTACAAAATTGAGGAAGATTTTGGCAAAACCCCCGATCATGGGTGAATTCGCCGAAATCATAAGAATTTTTGGTAATTTCCGAAATACGAGTATGTTTTGACCTTAACACCCGAGGGATGAACCACTCCCCAAATACTGGTACGTTTTCCCTTGAAATCACTACAATTTTCTCGAAATTTCCGAAATTATCATCGAAAAGCATGGTCGAAATCATCACCGACATCACCAGCTTGTGGATAAAAAAACAAGGAAATAATAAAAAAGTTATCCTATAAAATCAAGGACGCTTATCACAAAACCAGCGAAATCACATAAACATTTTTAGGCGATTTCCGAAATACGCGAACGTTTTGAACTTAGTCGTTATTTCCCCCTCGATTTGAACTTCTTGTTTGGTGGTTTGCTGTGGGAAACGATTATTTTATATGTGAATAAGAAATCTTTATTGGGGGTAACAAAGGGCTATCGATCGATAGGCGCGGTTCTGGGAAGATTTTTCGAATTTTTTCGGGCTTTTTAAACATCCACTACTATGTATATGTTCTGATAGCCATCTTTGTGACACCACAGAAGAGTTCTGGGCCAATAAGAGCCTTTGAAGCTCCTTCCCGGGCTAGTAAATCAGCCTCTTCGTTGCCCTTGTCCTGTGGCCTTGTACCCAGGCTAAGGTTAGTCTGTTTTGACTAATCAGCTCTGTTAGGGCTTCCAAACTGTCCCACAAGCTTTGAGTGTATCTGCATAGAACTGATGGCTTGATTGTCTGAGTAATATGACAATGGTTTTTCCATTTATCTTGTCTAAATACCTCTTTTGCGCAGTGATGTATTTCTGTCTGGAATACTGTCGCATCTTTACCAAACCTCAGTGAGATTCTTGCATTTGGCTTGATACTATATATACCTACTCCAGCGCTTTAATATTCTAGCTATGCCTACTAATAGAGCCATAACCACATACAAATTTGAAATAAATTTTCAAATTCAAATACCAGCCCGAGAATCCTGGAAACAGGTACCTCCCGTACAGGCTGAACTCGTCTGGTACACAGACGGTTCAAAAACCAAGGAAGGAGCGGTGCTGGAATCTATAGACCAACGATTTCGCTGAGTTTAGGAAAATATGCAACAGTGTTCCAGGCTGAGCTAATAGCCATACAACACTGTACAAGAGAAATATTAATCAGCAAGTATCAGGCAAAACTATTGCCATATACTCTGATAGCAAAGCAGCTCTTAAGGCAATTCTCTCACCAGAAATCAAATCACGACTAGTGAAAGACTGTCTAGAAGACCTGACAGAGCTAAGTAGTCAAAATAAGGTGACCCTAGCCTGGGTTCCAGGCCATGAGGGACATCAGGACAATGAAAAGGCCGACGAATTAGCCCAAGAAGGCTCAGATAAGGCCATGACAGGCCCCCGAACCCTTCTGTGGAGTTGCTAAGGCATCTATTAAACAATGGATGCAGAAAGAGTCTCAGGAATGGTGGAAACAACTATCCAAGACTGAGACAGGCCAAACAGTTCATCAAGGAACCATCGGCCAAGTTCACGAAAGACCTACTGGACCAAAAGCGTCAAACCGTTAGGATAACAGTAGGCCTTCTTACTGGACACTGTCGCCTCAAAAGGCACATGAGTGTCATCAATCCAGCAGAAGAAGCAACTTTGTGCAGGTTCTGTGAAGATGAAACATTATTCCACGTCCTGTGCCAATGTGAAGGCCTGGCTGGACTGAGGTTTCTAACATTGGGCGAAGAAAAGCCAAATACATGCGGGAGCCACTGTCAAAGAAAATACCAGGCTAGACGACATACTCTACAATAGATCTGAAAAGGTCGCGGTGGACAAGGGCAAATAACGTCCAACTCCTAATCTACTCCAGAGCTTTCATGGGTTTTGGAGCCGTCTGTATACCAGGTGAATTCTGCGCGAATAGGAGGTCCTCCCGTCCACGCTTTTCTGTCTGGTATAATTACTTTATATTGCTTTTGAAAGCTGTACTTTGGGAGCATTTCTTCTGAAGGCATTCCCATTATTTGGCCGTTCTCCAACTTTTTATATAGCTCACTGTAATCACATCCATACACACTACTTATGCAGTCTGTGCATACCATAGGCAGTATAAGTTGCAGATATTAGCCTTTTTATCCACTAGGACTGATCAATGGAGGGGTGATAGTACTCCTCCCTGGGGACAACCCCTGCCTGCTTTAGCAGTATTAAAAAACATATATTATTTGTTAGTGAAATAGAGGACAAAATAGACAAATTATTATCTTCTAATAACCTCTAAATTAATTTATTTTTTAGATTTTCGTTAGTGGGTCGTGGATAAAATATACTGTACAACTCGAGTGAACTCCGTATCGCACTCATATCCACTTGTGTTGCACTAACTACTATTGTGTGTCATCAGGCAACCATTTTTGACAAGACGTTGGAATAATGTATAAAATAAAAAACGAACACAAGTAGTAAAAATTTATTTAACAAAAGCTTTTTAACATAATGTAACATGAAATACTTAATCAATCGTAATAGCACCAAGAAGGGGTAACTCTTCCCGTTTTTTTCTTCTCTTACATTTTGGACATGGTTTTGAAGAGTTCAAACAAGATTTATGATACACACCGCTACAATCATCACAGCGGTAAACGTGATCTGTTTCAAAAGGGAACAACAGCTTCGGCTTATTACATACCTCACAAACAAATCCCTTTTGACTGCACAGCCAGCAACTGTAGACATGTTCCTTCCCAAAAATAACTACTTTTTCCAGTTGTTGTGCCAGCAATCCATTCATGACATCAGAAAGATCCTTATAAAAAAACATATTACGTAATAAATAGCTATTCATGTAAAAATTAAGGGGTGTTTTATGATTTTGACCGTATTATTTATGAAATTAGGATCGATTTTGCATATTTTGTAAAATGAAATCATTCTCACCAGAATGGAATACTGGTGTATATGCTCATACATGTACTCTCTAGGCCACATTTGCTTCTGAAGTTCCTCAATGATGGGTTCTCTACAAGTGAATAGATACGCTCTCAGAAAATTAAGTTGATTTCTTAACATCTGTAGCTGCGCCATTTCTTCAACTACTGAGTATATATGAGGATTTAAGACCTTAAAAATAATGTTCATATTATATCCAACCACTAACTACATATTAAACACTTATGCACTGGAGGTATTCATTCGAGAAACTTTTAGAACCACTTTAATGTTTTAAAATAGCTGAATGGACCGGGGGAGCTGCTGCCTCAAAACTTAGTTCATAAGGTATAACATTTTTGACTATCAGATTTGATGTGGAATGGTAACACCATTTAAAAAAATGTCTTACGTCTCAAACCAGGGGCATTTGGCCACTAGAAATTGTCAAATTTAAAAAAAGTACTAAATTTATATCACAAGGTATAAAAAAAGATTTGGTGAGGAAAGGGCTACCTAGTCCAAAACAAAATATTTTGGGGCTTTCTATCTGTAAGATAGATTTGAAAAAAACAGAAATTTACACCATGAGGTATAAGAACGATTTTTTAAATGAAAACTTGATATTTTACACAAGCCACAATGACACTTCTGTAACCAATATCACTGGCAAAAAGTCAGAAAAATAAAAATAGAACTCTAATGTGCCCCATCCTTCTCCACTTTATTGGAATCTAAAGTGTCATAAATCAAGCAAATGTAAAAATAACATTATAATGAAGAAATTAAAATGCTTTACCTTAAAGTCAATAACAGGATGATCTTTGACCTCATTTAGGTAATTAATCGCTCTTCGAGATATTGGATATGCCTTAAAGTCCCAATTATGAATAATTCTAGCAGGTATTTGAACATAGTCTGCATTCATACAATTATCACAAAAATAATCACCAGTGAAGGCACAAACTCTAAAAATATAACAATATTTGGTCAATAGAATTATGATCAAAATGAAATATAATAGAATTATGATCAAAATGAAATATAATAAATATTATATACCAGTGCATGGAAATAAAATAACAGATCATTAATATTAACTTACTTTGGTTTATTATCTATTCCTAAAGATTGTTTGCAATCCACACATTCATAATTCTGGGCATCCAGGCCTTTTTCTCTTGCTATTTTTCCAACCTGCGCGGCCATACTAGCTTCTGTTTTAGGTGAACCTGCCACCACTATGATGGATTCCTGTTGCTCTGCCTAAATAAAAATGAACGCCAGTATAAAAGAAACTTTCTTTCTTTTAAAAAATGATTTAAGACCTCAGATAAACAAGCCAAGATCTACCTACTGTTTCTTCTATTAATTTATCTCGCTTCTGGTTCCTTGATGTGACTTAGTAATTTAGCCAAAACTAATAATTTTTAAAAAATTTGAGTTTCTGGTATGTTTTTTTTATTCAAATTTATTTAATTTAAATAAATAATAGCATAATTGATTTTTTATAGAATACACTTTTGTTAAATTGCATTTTTATTTAAATCCGTCCTTACAAAGTATTTAAAAAACAATCCTTTGGATTCTGATGAAGAAACTACCTACTTGATACGCCACTGGACAATCAAATTGTCAAACATTTTTATGGCTTCAAACAAAGCTTATGTTAAACAGCGCCAGTTACCTATTTCTTTTGTTTATCTGAGTTTTAAACCCATTGTTCCACTAATATAAAAAGTGTTCTAACCTTAATCACCTTTGTTTCTTTTCTTTCATCTTCAAACTTCTGCCAGACCTCTCTTATATCTGGGGTTTTAATAAAAGCCCCACTAAGCAAATTGTAACTTTCAATCAAAGCATTGAAGCTAGTATCCATTGATTTCAATTCATTTTCATTCTCCTTGACTTCATTGTCAGGTACTTTATCTTCCCCATTTTCATTAATCTGACTTTCGTCAAAAGACCACCCAGTCCGTTTATTTAAAGAATTTCCTACACAATAGTTCACATCAAAATCATTGCTCCTCTCTTGATCGGAGCTACACGAAGACTTAATATCATCTATTGATTGGGAATTAATAGTTATTTTATCCTTATCTTTCGCTAGGATTATTTTTAAAACTTCATCTTCAGTTAGAGCAACAATTTGTCTTAACCCTGAAGATTGAGAGTTAAAAGATAATCCTGAACAAACTGAAGCAGTATCAGAACTATTTTCAAAATTAGTAGACTTTGTAGACTCTGTAATAGCCTGGGCTACATCATCACAGGGAGCAACAGGGCAAGATTTTAGAGTAGGAGCCCAAATTCCAGCCAAAATTAAACTAGGTAAAGGCCAGGTATTAAGTAAACTTGAATTAAAAGGCAGGGTAAATGTTTTAAAGGCCTCCACTCCTTCAATTAGCCTTTGTGCTACATCCAGCAATTCTCCATCTCGAAGAAATGCATTCACTCTGTAATATGACTTTAATGAGAAAGAATCTTGTCTAATTGTCATTAAATATGAGGAAAGAAGACAGTCATTTAAAGCTAGACGTATCCATGCTCTGCACTGTCCTACTTCCGTTGTTATTTGAGATAAATTTGTTATCTGTAAAAAAATTATTACCATGAGTCATCTATTACACATACTTAACAAAGATAAGTAGGTATTATTATATTTTAATCAATATGATAAATAAAATGTATGATTTATTAACCATAAAATACACATAATAAATAATAAAAAAAATAATAGATGCTTTAATTTAATTAATGCAATATTTTTTTAATCAATTAAAAAAATGCCTTTATATATAGTAACATCAAAATCAAAGAAATATTTTCATTTATTTCTACTTTTTGTTTTTGTTTATATTTTTCCCAATTTTTTTGAGACCTAAAAATCTTATAACTTTTATCTCTGCCTTCTGTGACAGCTTGTACACATTGATTCCACCACATATTGATTCTGTTCTTAGGTACAACCTTATTTAAAGCATTTATTATTTTTGAATAGGGATCAATATTTTTTTTTTTGTAAAACAAACTTTTTCCAAACAGGACTTTAATATTTTGCTTAATATAAATCAAACTTGTTCAGAATTTCTATAAATGTTGTAACAATCTATTAATACATTAGAATCATAAGAGGAGTTTCACTTAAACCAACAAAAGTAGGTCTCCTATAATCAATTATGCATGAATCTCATCAAAGTGTAGACTTTGTGCATTAAGTGACAAAGCAAAACTTTTTAGCATTTGTGGATGCTAAATGGAATATTTAATTAAAAAAATACTGCATATGGCAACTCTTATCAGAATTATTTATACATTTAATTAAGTATTCTTAATTATTTATGGATTGGACAATAGTAACATTTTAGGTGAAAATTAATTACAAATCTTACCTGGTCTATGATTTGACGATGAGAAATTACTAATAAAGGTGACCAAAAGCTGGGATCTGGTTGTTCATCAAGATCTGCTAGAGCCTTTTTAAACCTATGAGTTAGGGTATCTCTCAAGCCATGCAGAAAGAGAGCCTCAATAGTAGAACACAAGGTGTTGGCTGCTTCAGTTATAGAAACCTCTGCATTGTTAGGAGATTTATTTTCCTCAACATTGGTATAATGTATCTCTTTGCAACTATCTGACAACTGACTAATAATTGATTTTTTAAGTATTTCATCTTTATTATTAGTTACAGAACGGACACTTTTTAAAAGCTTATTCATTTTTATACAGTCAATTGGCTCTTGACTGGATATTTATTTTTTAAATTAAAATTGATTAAAGTGTTAATAATTTCTTCACAGGCAACTCCGTTTCTCACTATGTGAAAGGATCCAGGTTCTGACAAATCTACAACAGTAGATGCACTATTATTAGCTTTTAGTTTGCCACCATCAAAAATGGCAGGTAATTTTTCCCAAATATTACTAAACCCTACAACTTCTACAGCACTAGGTTCATTACTTAAGTTAGCACTAGTTAAAGCTAATGGTTTACCCAGCCCCGATGATAAATTTTGTATAAATCTATAATCTGGAACTCTAATTCCAACTTTCCCTTTTAGGCTTAGAGAACTGTCTAATGAATTGTTAGCACAGCACAGAATTAAAGTGATGGGTCCTGGAAGCAATGAATGTAATAGTTTTATTGGTAGATGTTCAACATGAGCCCAAGTTTTTACATCACCCACTTCACTTAAGCAAATTGCCAATGGTTTGTTTTCATTTCTGCATTTAATATTATATAAACTGTTTATGGCTGTTTTATTAGTAGCATCACAGGCAAGACCATAAACAGTATCTGTAGGAACAGCTATAACAGATCCTGATTTTAAATATTGTATACCTATTGACTCAGCAGTTGGACTTGTCACAGAAATATAAGCAGCCATAGAAGATAAAACCTGATTTGATATTTTTCTACTAACATCAAAAAACATATAAAAAGTCTGTTTAAAAACCATCTGATCAGTCACGCCAATTGTGGTTACAATCTGAATTGCAACAACGGTAAAATGTAGTCATAGGTTCGTCAGCAGACCTTGTCTGTAATTGCAGAAAATATGCTCGATCGTGGCTACAAACAGGACACCTTTCTTCTGTAGAATCTACGTTTTTCCAAGCCTCTTCGCCTCCTAAAACATCGTCTATTTCCTGTAACAAGATTCGAATCAATCAATGAAAAATAAACTTTACAAATTCGTTACCTTAAGTTTATAGAAGTTTCTGAAAGATATCAATTTTTTCACAGGAAAGAAAACTGGACAGACATTACATGTGAACTGTAGTTTTCCTTGCAAATTTTCTTCAACAAATAGAAGGTTGTGACAAAACGGACAGAATGCTACCATATTCCTAAGCAAATAGTTTTTTGGACTATGCACACCATATGATATTCTTTTTTAAATATTTTCGAGACAAATAGAAAATTGAATATCACGCCATTAAATTGTGTCAATGTGTCATTTCATTTGTGCATGAAAATATCAACTATCAAATCATAATTTTAGCTGTCAAATGTCATTGACTGGATAGTTTCGATTATAAGTTTCAATCGTTGGTGAAAGCATTCGATTTACAACACACCTATTCGAATCGATCAATCACAATTCGATTATATTATATTTCTAGGCATATTTTAGTATAAGACAAATCGAAAACGACGATCAATCAAAATTGCGAATATTTTTTTTCCAATTATGACATAAAAGTGACTTTTTGTAATCGTAGAAAGTTTTAAAATGATCTACTTTGTGCAGCAAGTGTCAAAATTATCTACTTTATACAGCCAGTTGCATAAACATTTGGTTAGTGAACTTACAACCTAATAATAACAATGTTATTTTATTCCTTATTTTCCATTCTAAATCAGCACAAAATAATCAAAAAACCAAAATAACCCACGTTCTTGAAAACGAATTAACTTTAATAAGCAATATAAACACAGTAATAAAGTTGTTGAGAATAAATTAATATGACAATAAATTTAAAGAAGTTATGCTTATGCAACTAACAATATATGGGAGTAATATTGGTTGCCTAGATATCAGTAACGTCGTACCAAAACACAATTTTATAAATAATCTAGTAAAAATTAGAAAAAATATTGTATAACACGGTACGACCTCGCTTTGCTCGTCCCGCAAATATTCCCTCGTTACATAAAACAAGATATTTCATAACTGGTTGCACAAATAGCTATTATCATAGTATAAATATATCCTATTATAAAGCAATAATATAATTTGTTTTAAACTAAATTGTTAGAAACGGTAAGAAAAAAGATACATATGAGTATGAGATATATTCACAATCAAACTCCAGCCAGCTTAAATGTTAATAAAACCAATTGTTATACAGACAACGGTAGAAGAAATTCGAAAAAAAATAGCGCATAAAAGCGATAATTATCAGAGATATTAAATAGCGTTACCGTTCGTCCGGATTATGTCCGGATTTTCCCAGACATCAGCTAGTTCGGGTGATTATGGACCGGATGTTTGCTAGGTCTCACGCTCCATGTAATGGACTTGAAATATATTGTGCGACAGATGGCAGTATAATGAATAAGCGCCCACATTTGAGAAGATGGATTACATTTGTTGAGAGTTTATTTTTGATTATTTTTTAATTCATGTAACTAATATATATTTACCTATAATCTATAACAATAAATACAATTTTTATTGCATAACCTTGTCCTGAATTTTAAATTTTAGAAATTGCAACACTGTTAAAAGGTGTCTGTTTTCGAATAAAGATAATGTGGGGGTGCATAATAATCAGAGCTTGTATTTCAAGCTCTTTGATAATAATAAAGCCATACATAAATCAGAGCACATAATCAGGTTAAAATGAAATGTTCATGGAAGCATGACTAATTATTTAAGCATTATATGTGCATGGTTTCTGTAAATAAATACCTATTAAGATGTACACATGTATTAAATATCAAAACGGAGCTGGTATTTTAGTCCTGCGAGTACAATTTTTTTTGTGAATGGCGCAACTGTTGTGTTTTGTGAGTTAATTGACAATTGCTCCTATTTGCACTATGTTTAGAGCTGTTTAAGATCACTCCGAGACTGTGTCTGCAAATCTAAGCACGGGTGGCCTTCTTTGAAAAAGATCCCGTTAGGCCATAATGTTCAACAATATTTTCCATCGAAGATTTGGCCATTTTCAAATCAATCGCTCTTTTCATTAAGGATTTTCCTTCACTATATTGTGTGATAATAATTTCGCGTAATTTTCGAGATATTCGAGATATTCACCATTTCCATTCAAGGGGAACCCTTTTTGATTAAATACGATTCCTTTTAACACCATTTTGAATTTTTAAAATTTATTTAGGGTCTGTTATCTTTGACTTTTAAAATACTCAGATACCAATTTTAATCGAAATCTGCCGACTTTAAAAATAAATGATTTGTTGTAACTGTTCATCCTGTATATAACTGAGCAGAAGTATTACTGATTTTGAGCCAGAAAGGAGTCTTATTTGCATACAAAATTTGAAATTTTTCTCTATAGCCGTTTTTGAGATATCGCGTCAACAGACAGATAGACAGACGACGATAGATAGACTGACGGAATGGCAAAACATATTTTTCGCAATTTAGGGACCCTAAAACGTGAAAATTTGAAATAATTTCGGAGGGCGACATGTTCACGATCACAATACTTCCCTGCTCTCTTACCAAGCAGGGAAGTAAAAAATAACAATATCTTATTACTCTTATATTTGAGTTTTGAGTATAAAAAACGAAAAATAAATTGTAGAATTAAACAAAAAATAAAATATATTAGTTATTAAAATGTTGAAAAACATTTGTTCTCGAATTTAAAAGTAGTTGCAAATTATCTCACAATATTTTAAAAATCCACTTGATTTATAAAAAAATCATAACCGTTCGATCATGTTGTTTGGACTCGTATATGGCTGTATTTATTTTCAGTATTGCGTGAAAACACAAATGCACTGCTACCTCCCAGACTATTTTCTTTCTTTCAAAATTATAAATTGTAGAAGTATATAATCTAAACGCGAATATTTTTTGAGAAATTGAATAAGTTCCGATTACGAAAATTTAAAGAATGTTCCAATCTTGTTTCGTATTGTGCTAAATGTCAGTTAAGATAATTGCACTTGAAGACAATATACAATATTGACGAATTCCCCACTCGCTCATGCGCTTTTAGCGAAAAGCGGAAAACTCATACTAGTCTGATAAAGTCCGGGCGCAGCAAGTTTTGATGTCGCGCACCGATACATATCAGTTTCCCACTCGCAAATACCATGATTAATTCTTTTACGACTGCAATTGCATGTCAACGTAGTGCACGCTTTCGATTTCCTGTAAACTTGTGGTCCAACTGTTCACCATTCTGGCTCCGGAGATATCCAATCTTCAACAGACCAGGCCTTGCCTCATTAGATCAAACAGAGAGGCATCCTCTGAACTCTCGAGGCAAGAGATTCACGCTTCTTTCGACACCATTCACACTTTCAAGCCAAAAACTTCCTTTTTGGATCAACAGTCCGTCTCTTTCGACAGCTACTGTCGAAGATCGTCGCTGCAAAAAAGTTATTTGGAAAATGAGAGATATAGGTCATCGTTGGAGACATTCCATCCTAGGTACCAAGAGGAGAACGAAGACAAGCCTTGGATGTTTGATTTTACATCTTCGATAGGCAATTCTGCTTCCTCCAACATCGAGTCTGATTTAGATCTTAAAGGACGCTTCAAGTACAAGATTAATTATAAAGACCGTACTGATTTTCTTTCATTGTCTTTGTCACCGCCAGGATCTCGAAATAACTATTCTTTTCGAGAATTTCCTTCGCTGTGAGTATATATTTCTTTTATCGTTTAGAGTAGGTTTTCTTAACTTTTAAAGAACACATCCCATATCTACATATTAGTAATGTGTGTAATGCAATTTTACAGATTTCTTTAGACAAATTAAAATACAATTTAATGATTATTTACAACTTTCAGAAGGTTAATTTTCTAGTGTATAAATCGCTCATTAGAATATAAAATAACTGTGAAGTTCAAGTACAGAAGTGTGTCATACGTAGGTAGGTACGTTTAAAATGTTTTATTTAGTTTATTAATAATTTTAAAGATATTACTCATATTTTTTATATGAATATAATTTCTATTAGTACTTTATAAAAAAAAAAAAGAAAAATATTTAAAAATGTACTAGCGTGATAAATTTTGGCAGATGCTTAGACTGAGTGTTTGTATCATTCAGACATATCACATTCTCAAGTTCAAAGTGTCAGGCTCATACATTTTAATGCATATATTATTTTTTAATTGGTATTATAATGCCAATTCACGGCTATATGTATTATTCAGCATTGAATTTCACATTTTTTTATTCAAATTTATTTTTTCTTTTGTGTTTTTCAAACTATTCGGACTTTGATCGATATTATTAATTAAAATAATAATACATAATATAAACAATTTAATAGGAAGGATTAAAATATTAGTAAATAAAAAATAATACAAAAATATGACCGACTCACTTATCAGAGGATTCAAGTTACAGCTACAGGACTTGTTTCGTTATTAAAATCATTCTTTTGTAACTTTAGTTTTCATACGTCTCCAGGGGTGCTATTTTCAAAGTCGAGAGAATTCATTTCTCTCGAGAGAAATGTCATACGTCAACGTAAAACAGTATTTTTAGGGTCCTAAGGGCCAGTGTAAACTCACTGATTGTTTCTCACGGTTTATTTAGAGATAATTAATATCCCCCTAAGAATTTTAATCCTCGAGGCCTTTAAAAACAACATTTCCACATTGACGTATGACATTTCTGATGAGAATCTTGAGAGAAATGAGTGCTCACACGGTTTGAAAATAGGTCCCCTGGTGTATTATGTTACGTTTGAAATGTACCTCCTTGAACAGAGCAAGTAGATTTTTGATCACGTGACAACGAACAAACCATATCAGTGGAGCAAACTGAGCTTGGATGTAATAAAAAAGGAAAACGAGGTACTTTTAAAAAGCGCAGCATTAGTAGAGTATTTACGTTAATGTCACAGCTATTTTGGTACATACGGTACATATGAAAATTTATTGTGAATCGCTAATTGGGTAGGTATTCTTTGATTTTAGAGCAACGTACTTGCAGCATTTATATCAAAATCAGGAACCAAAGTGGATATCATATGAAGTTTTAGTGTTTACATACATTACCTACATTTTTATATTTATTTATTTAAGGAGGTCCTTTCGCCACCAATGTTAAATAAAAAATGTTAGATTATGACTAAAATTAATTTTTTTCTAATAGTTGAAGTCCTTATTTATCTAGTAGTGAACTTTTAACTATACCTTACCGTGCAAATTTTTGAGAAAAAAGAATTTTAAAAATGTCAGTATTTGTACAGTGTCTTACGAGAAAGTAAGACTTCAACAACAATTTTCAAATTATAATTAAGTATACTATTATTTACTGATTAGATGGAGTAGAAAAAAACTAAAAATAAGGTTTTTGAAATATTTAGGTTTTGTTTTTTACAATAAAATATATAGGTTACCGTGGAATTTATTGAGAAATTAATATTAAAAAATCACAAAAAATTTTCAACTAGGTTACTTGAAATTTTTTTTTAATATTAATTTCTCAATAAATTCCACGGTAACCTATCTATTTTATTGTAAAAAACAAAACCTAAATATTTCAAAAACCTTATTTTTAGCTTTTTTCTACTCCATCTAATCAATAAATAATAGTATAATTCGAGAATTGTTGTTGAGGTCTTACTTTCTCGTAGGACACTGTACAAATACTCATATTTAAAAAAAAAAAAATTCTTAAATATTTGCACGGTAAGGTATAGTTAAAAGTTCACTATTAGATAAATAAGGACTTCAACTATTAGAAAAAAAATAAATTTTAGTCATAATCTAATATTTTTTATTTAACATTGGTGGCGAAAGGACCTCCTTAACACAAAATTTATTTCTAATCTTGTAGAGATATGTACCATTTAATTTGTCTTAATAAAATTACATCTCTATGCTTCTATTCTTATTGTCGTATAATTATTTTTTCTAAAGTTGGTTTTGATGTATTTTACTGTTCACGATATAATAAAGTTTGCAAAAATAATATGTAATAATGATGATAATATTTACTTTAGGTAAACTGATACAATTTTTATATTTTATATAAATAACTAGAACTTAGGTTCCCTGTACAACAAAGCCCATTACTGCATTTACATGTAGCATAAATGTTTTTTAAGGTCGTTCCCAACTCTAGTCGGCCGTGCAAGGCTTACCGATTTGGTTGATATTCATATACAGGGTGGGCCAACGAAAACAAATAGTTCAAATTTAGGGTTTTTAATGTCAAAAAAATCACGTCAATTTATTTGTCAAGGAGGAAACCCTTTAGATTTATTTCAAAACCCCTTGAACAGGGTGCTGAACTCCCCTAAAATCTTAAATGGAAAATGGGGTTGAGATACACCTAGTTTGAAAGGTCTTTAAATTATCTTTTTAATGATGCCTCATTTTGACATGTTAAATTTCAAATATATTCGTTTCATTTAGAAAAACGCTTACAAATAAGAGATAAATTTAAAAATTTTAATAGACTTTAATATCACTTAAATAAATGTTTAAACTATCCAATTTATAACCATGAATTGCATCATGCTTACCCCGTGGAAACTTAAATATTTAAAATTGAAAATTATTGCAACCTTAAGGCAATATAAGCTGAATTGGCGGAATCTTTGCAAATCAATAATTTTTATAAAAAGTAGAATATATGACTTTCCTATCTAGTTATTATAGGCTTTTTCTGGTTATTTTGTACAATCTATTGCAGCACCTCTATAAATGTTTAGAGGATAAACTAAATATATACATTTTCCACATACATCTAACTCGAAATATTTTTCTATAGATATTCATTGAAAACGAAAATACTGAAAAATTTAAAATTTAGCACTTTTCTTTCAATTTTTCCATTACGGTCCATTTTAGAAAAATCATGTCAAAAACAAAACTATAGAGATCGATATCGCAATTAACTTTTAGTTTAACAATTTCAGGAAAATTTGGCATAAAGCAAAAATTATAGATTAATATTAGAAGTAACTTTTATTTGAATAATTTTCTTCTCCAAACATAAATAACAAATATATTCCATAAAATATGAAAACGACCTCCTATAAAGTATCCCCCAGATGTTCTGACTTTGTCCAAAATCTAATCGTTTCACCTCAGGCCGAAATAAAACTTATGTTTAAACTTTAATGTTTTTTCCTTTATCCGTTTTTAAGTTTTCTTCAAAATTCGAAATTTACACATTTTCTTAAATATCTCGAATACGGTCCATTTTAGAGAAATTATGTATAGAATAAATATTATAGAGAATTTTATTACAAACAACTGTTATTTGAACAATTTTTATAAAAAAATATTTTTTTTTACATTTTGTCAAATTTCTCGAATACGGACCATTTTAGGAAAATTTTGTATAGAACTAAAATTATAGATAATAATATTGTAAGTAATTTTTATTTAAAGAATTTTCTTCTCCAAACGTAAATAACAGATATATTCCATGAAATATAAAAATGACAACCTATAAAGTACCCCCTCAGATGTTCCGACTCTGCCCAAAATCTAATCTTTTCACCGCAGGCCGGAATAAAGCTTAAGTTTAAAATTTGGTGTTTTTCTTTGTATCCGTTCATGAGTTATCGTGGATAAAGATAAAGACACACAAACACACACATAGACATCATCGCGAAAATAGTGAAAACGGATTCAGGGCACCCCCAAAACTTGAAAATTTGTATACAGATAGGAAAGTAAAAAGTAGAATATCCGTCTTATCTCTAAATTTTAAAATATATAAACAACGAAATTTATCCAGGCAGCGGATTGTGTCATCTTATAACACCACAAATGCTCTTTAATGTCAGAAATCGATTTGAGGAAAACTTGTATCACTGTATAGAAGATAATGGCTAGCACTTTGAACATTTAATAAAATAATATTAATTTCAAGCGTCCTTGTAAATGAAACAAATAAATTTGAAATTTAAAATCTCATTTCACAAATGAGGAATCATTGAAAAGATAGTTGAAAGACCTTTCAAATAAGTTGTCACTCAACCCCACTTTCCATTTAAGGTTTTATGGGTGTACAGAACCCCAGAAATTAACGTGTTCGACAATTTTTTTTTTGACCCTACACTTGAACCGTTTCGTTTTCGTTGGCCCACCCTGTATTAGAAACATGAGCACACAAACGACCTGTATATTATTTGTTTATAAACACTCTGTATTTAAGACAATACAAATATTTTTTAACTAATAGATAATTTAGTATTGTTGGCAAGAACCCATACATTTTTGGCCGACTTATTCGAAGGACAAATTAGTGTTTTATTTGGTTTTTAATAAAAATTAATAATTTACCTACACATTTTTATAAAGCAGTATAAAAACCTTTAGTTTTTTTTACCTTTTTATACAAAAAATTCGACAAAAAGCGCCAAACTTACCTGCAAATATGTTTGGGAGAAAAATATATTTCAGTTTTAAAGAAGTGTATATATTGTGGTGATTGTTTTAAATTGTATGTATTTTGTTTAAAAAAAAACTTGTAGACAAAAATAGTAGTGGTATGGACTATAGTATGTTTCGCGAAATGATCATAGAACAGTTACTGTAAGTATGGCAATTAAATCAACGAAAGGTATTCGAATGTTTTTTAAATTTACGCGGATTATGTCACACGAAAATACCATTCATTTAAATAAAATTTTCGCGCTCCACGCTAAAACTATCGAGCCTGGTCTATTTTTAAACTAGACTTATATTTTGACGAGTTGTGCAACGGAGCTAGTAAAACTAAATCGGAGTCAAGAAAACGAAAAATTTCAATTAAATGCATTTTGTGAGGGATTTTCTAGTGATACGTCACTTCTGCATCATATGGCAAGTCTATTGTTGTGAAAGCAAAACATCTTAATATCATAAAATATGTGCTATTATATCCGTAAAATGCTTCTGTTAGAAAAAACGCTCTCTGCCAAATATATTTCCTAAAAATAATAGTTTTGCTTTTAGTGTATTTTAAAAAAAATTGATTTTATCTCACGAAGATCAGTATTAAAATTTCCCGCTTCATTATCATGGCAAACAACGACGAAAATTCTTCGAAACAAATATGTTTTCCAAACGAGTCCTTAGTGACAGATAATGAGTTTAATTTTGACCTATCAGCAATCAACATTAATACAGAAGTTTTTAAATTTATTACATTTATCCACGTAATAACCCCTTTAATCTTAATGTGGTGTTTTTTATCAAACTTTAATAATAAATCCAAACGAAGGAAAATTTGCAGAAAGAAGTTTCAGAGGAAAATCAACGAAGCTAAAGCAAAAGCTACACCTAAACAGGTTTTCAAGAGGCCTCCAAGAAAAGCTGCGTCCCTTTGGAACATCAGACTGTAAGTTTAAAAGTATGTCAAGGTATAAAAAGCTTAATATTTATAAAAAAAATTAAGTTCAGTGCTCAGCTGCCATCCAGAAAGTTATCAGTAGATATAATTTTCATGCATACGTTTTAAGTAACCCCAAAATTTACTTTTGAAATAAATAATTTACAGAATGGTTTCAATGAAATAAAATTTTACAGAAAATTATAGAAAATTATATTACAAACAACTTTTATTTGAACAATTTTTATAAAAAATTATTTGTTTTACATTTTGTCAAATTTCTCGAATACGGACCATTTTAGGAAAATTTTGTATAGAACAAAAATTGTAGATAATAATATTGTAAGTAACTTTTATTTAAAGAATTTTCTTCTCCAAACGTAAATAACAAATATATTCCATAAAATATAAAAACGGCCTCCCATAAAGTACCCCCCCAGATGTTCTGACTTCGTCCAAAATCTAATCATTTCACCTCAGGCCGAAATAAAACTAATGTTTTTTCCTTTAACCGTTTATAAGTTTTCTTCAAAATTCGAAATTTACACATTTTCTCTTACACTTACAGTACATCAAATTTAATAAATAACTGACAATTTTCAGTCAAAAATGTGAGCTAATAACGATTTTCTTATTTTAATTTTAACCATCACGTTTCAGATATACTTTTACTTTATTAGCAAGAAAATGTATTTAAAATTTATTTTGTTAAGTGGATATTGGTGTTATTTTTTTTTATTTTGGTGTAATCGACATCCAGTACACATGTTATTAGCCTCGTGTTACTGTTTTCCAGTGCCACTGTGGGAACAGCACTGTTAATTAGAACCCAATAGTGAATGGTCGAGTTGGGAATCCTATTATTTTTTAAATTAAATAAAAATCTCAAAACCGGCGGGATTCAAACCCGAGAACCTTCGATCTCAAAGTCATGACTCTTATCACAATGTTATTATTTAAAAAAATATATATGTTTTCCCTATGTAAACTAAAATAAATGATCCAGTAAAATTATTTTTATTATTTATATTATATTTATTTATATTTATTTATGTAGAAAATAGAATTAATTATCAAATTTTATTATTTTTTATATAACATTTATTTATTAAGTAGGGGAGCAACTGTTATTAACTACAATTTGTTTAATAATATATTTAATTCTTTATTAAAATTAATTTTAGACGTTGAAACTATAAGTAATCCATTTTTAAAACTATTAAACTTGCCTTAATTTATACAGCAAAAGAGAACATTTGTTAACAGTACAAAAATAAAAGTATTATACAACTCCATATATTGAAAAGTCTGATGTGTCCAACACATGACTTTTCTGTCTAGTTATTGCAGGCGTTCTCCGGTTATTTTGTACAACCTACTGTATCACCCCTGTAAATGTTTAGAGGATGAACTAAATACATACATTTTAAACATACACCTTACTTGAAACATTTTTTTATATCATTGCCAACGAAAATACTGAAAAATTAAAATTTTTCACTATCCCCAAAATTGAATCAGTTTACGGCAGGATGTATTTAAACTTAAATTTACATATTGGTGTTTTCTCTTTATCCGTTTTTCGAAATGTGAACTTTATTCAGATATCTCGAATACGGTAATTTTAGAGAATTTTTGTATACGACAATAATTATAGAAAATGACATCATAAACAACTTTTATTTGAACAAATTTCTTAAAAATTCGAATTTGCCATGTTTTATGAAATTTCTCGAATACGGACCATTTTATGAAAATTATGTATATAACAAAAATTATAGAGAATAATATTACAAGCAACTTTTATTTGAAGAATTCTTTTCTTCAAGCGTAAATAACATATATTCCATAAAATAGAAAAACGACCCCTTATAAAGTACCCCTCAGATAATTCGACTATGCCCAAAATCTAATCAGCTGACCGCAGAATTTATTAAAGCTTAAATTTAAAATTCGGTATTTTTTTGCTGTTATCGAGTATACAGTCATCATCGCGAAAATAGTCAAAACAGTTTCACGTGACCACAAAACGTAAAAATTCGTCGAAAACCCGTGGTCAAAAAAATTATGATTCCTATATAGTCCAGGGGGCAGTGCAGTTTTTTGGTACTTATTTTCCCAGTTAGGAAACACCGATATAATTATTCGGTTTGTTATTCTAAGCCAAATTCATATATATGTAGGGGGAGATGGGGGGGGGGGGGGGCTCCGATGGGTTGAGGCGGAAAATTCGTTTGAAAGTACAAATATACTGCATTTTTTTTCCAGTTATAAAAATCATTCTATTAGTGAGAGATATAGTGAAGTTAAGAAAAAAAAAAATAGTCTGTCTAACCTGTGAGTATGGGTAATATGTCTGGCAGGTGAAAAATTGGAAAAAAATTATCAGTCATTGATCTTATTTTGGCAGTCCTAAAAATTGTTTAGATGATAGTTTATATTATAATTACAGCTGCAAATACAGTCTGGCTAATGTGGAACACACCCAAAGCCTTGCCAGACTCATCCAACGCTCGTCAGGCGCGCCAAATTCGGCATGTTCAATATTACAGGTGATTGTTGTCATCTCTGCATGGTTAAGGGCGAAATTTCACTATGGCTAAAAACACTTTTCTCAACGTTTTGAGATCCCAGGAATCCAAAAAACATGGTTTTAGTAAAATCTCTGTCCGTCAGTCATCAAAAAAAAATTAATGGCGAATAACTTTTTAACTATCAGAGATACGAGAAAGTTATATAGTTGTTTTTTGTAAAAAAATTATTTCCTTACAAAATCGATTTCTTGACATTCTTTTATGTCTCCCTTAGTTTTTGAGTTATAGCAATAAAATATCTTCGGAACTATACAAGATATGGGAGAACGAGTAAGAATATTTGTTGTAGGGAATTTAATTCTCTACAAAAAAGATCTCTGGACATTTTTGTATCTCGTTTAATTTGTGAGACATAGTGAAAATAAAAAAATATACGAACAAGATTAAGAAGCATAAAATATATGTTATGTCAATAAATTTACAATAATTAATCGATAATAGACTGTAAGTGTAGTATTCTTTTTAATAAATAATTTACCGTACTTAACAGTTTAAATTTATTTACCAGAACATGAAAGTGCCATCGATATTTATCAGGTTTTTTAAATTTCCCGATGCGTTATTTGTTTGATATCGATGATAGCGACACATAGTGGGTCAGATGTTAACTGCGTTCGAGCTGGTCATTGCATAGAATGAATTATTCAAGAAGATCCAGCAAAATATTTAAAATGTACTAGATTTAGACACTTTTATCTTTTGTGGCACTAGCATTTATGAATAGTTGAAATATACTGAATCTAATACAATTGTACTAGTAAACCCAACACTGATACTGTTACTTGATGCTGTGATACAGTTGTCCTTCTACAATTGCCGCGTTTGAGAATCCACATCGGATGCATTTTTTACATCTCGAGCGTTTTTTAATCCACATCGGACACATCTGTCGCATTACATTTACGTATACTGAATCACGTGATCAAAGATTTACTACATCTCAGATGCATCCTGTGGACTCTCAAACGCGGCAACAGATGCATAGAAAAGTGCTTATACTGTATATAGTCACGTGGTAATTGAGGAAGATATGAATATAAGGGACCAGAGCCCAAGCAGCTGTTCTCAGGTACTCGCATTCCAGCGTGGTTACCTAAATACGCAATTTTGACAATTTTCAAGATGCCGCCAGACTCATTTAGCAATTTTGTAAATCACCCAGACTTACTTTTGATTACACTTTACTAGGTGTTGCCCACGGCTTTGCTCTCGACTTTGCTCGCATGTAGTCGTGTTATTAATATAAAAAAATACATGACTTGTTTTTTATTAATTTTAATTAGTTTTATTGATTTTCATTCATTTTTATTCATTTATTTTTATTAATTTTTATTAATTTTTATTAATTTTTATTAATTTTTATTAATTTTTATTAATTTTTATTAATTTTTATTCATTTTTATTCATTTAACTATTGCATAGCTTTTATCGCGGGCTTTGAGCGCGGCGACCAAATCAAGAAATTCCGTAACGAAAATAAACCTAACACCATGCCGAAGTCTGCCGAACTGAAACGACGTTAGACGATGCACGGCTTTCAACGCCGCACCGCTGTTCCGGTCGGCTATAGTCATGGTAGCAATTTACATTTCTCCGAATCCAAAATTGGATAAGGTAGAGCATTTTATTCATCGCACTTTACTGGGATACACTGAAGAAGGGTCGAAAATACTTGGTTTTTATTCATTTTTATTTATTTTTATTTATTTTTATTCATTTTTATTCTTTCCATACATTTTTATTTATTTTTATTCACTTTTATTAATTTTTATTAATTTTTATTAATTTTTATTAATTTTTATTAATTACCAAATTATTATCTAAAAATTTTAAAAATAAACAAACCCTGCTTGTGATACATTGTAAAAAAGCTCTAAAGGCTAATAAAATCCTATTTTCAATGATAAGTGTCTCTAGGTACATTTTGTTGTTTTTAAATTGTCACACCGTATATATTATATTAGGATTGATTTTTAGTGTAATTTCTTACTGTCTTTATTTTTAGCTCGCCTTCTAAAGACACAAGTCTTCTAGATTTAGATGATATACAAAAAATTCGATATATTGAGAATAAAGAAAGTCAAGAAGATGAAGATGAATACATCACTGGTGGATATATGCCTATCAATATTGGAGATATTCTCAAAGAACAATACAAAGTTTGTAGAAAGTTAGGATGGGGCCATTTTTCTACAGTTTGGTTATGTCGCAACTTATCGAATGAGTAATATTAAACATCTTAAAGTATCTACCACGATAATAATTATATTTTTGTTTGTTTTAGAGGACCTACTTATGTAGCTTTAAAAATCTGCAAAAGCGCACAATCGTTTGCAGTTGTCGCTCAAGATGAAATAAAGCTACTGAGAGAGACGAAACTGATAGACCCCACTCACATTGGCTATAAACACATTGTCCAAATGGTAGATACTTTTAAATTAGTTAGCGTCAATGGAGTACACACTGCCATTTCTATGGAGATCATGGGGCCCTCATTGCTACACTTACTTATTCAGTCTGATTTTAGAGGAATTCATTTAAGTGGATGCAAAAGGATCATTACTCAGGTAGGTACGAAATTATACAAAGAATAAATGTTTAAAAGAATACTAGTTTTTTAAAAATTGCCGAAGCAATACTCAAATTTTCTAGTATAGTAGACACGGAGCTTCAGGGGTTCATTCGTGTTATTAATAAAAAAGAATGTAATTCTGTTTTTCAAAACATACCTTTTCTTTGTTTTTAGGTTTTAAAAGGTTTGAGCTACCTTCACGAAAAGTGTCGTATTATTCACACCGATATTAAGCCAGAAAATATATTAATAAAAGTTGATGAAAACTACATCAAAACTATTATAAGTAAAACTGAAAAATTTACAGAACTTGGAATTGATATGCCACGTTCGTATGGTATGTTTAAAAATATAATATACAGGGTTTCTTCAAAAGGTTGGGATACAGATTATCTATAAAACTCGTGGGATAAAAATAAGTCGGTAATCTTTAATGTTCACGAAGACGTCTCTACATTCTTGCAAATATCTTACGAGAACCAGCAACATATCAGTTTGTTCACTATAAGAATATTCAGTCATTGACGTTTAAAGTTGAGTAGGTATTCGGCTAACTAGGTTATCCGTATTAAAAATACACGCCATCAGAACAGATTTTATTTTTTTGTTTAAGAGATATCAAAAATTACTATAAGATACAAAAAATATTTCTAAAGAAAATATATTTTTAGAAAAAAAATTGAAAGTTTCATGGTAGGCTCTAGAAAGTTATCATCAAATTTGTATTTTGCGAGATTTTTGTTTACAATTTACTAAAAAGAATACCAAATCATCCCAAAACGTGACTATATAGTGCCAAAATATGCCAAATCTTATGCGCAAATATATTTTTCTTAAATCTTTCTCGTAAGTTGGATTAAATCATCTTATTTTTGTCTCAGGAGTCGTTGCTAGGTCCCTTTTGAAGAAATCCTGTATATCTACCTCTATCAGTAATTTTTATTTTAGTCGCGTCCGATTGTTGGATAGACAAGGACAAACGCTTGGGGGATTCAGATGAGAACATTATATCTAAATTCGAAGAACAAAGAGGACAGTCTTATCCGTACGACAAATTTTTAGGAGAACTTACCGATTTTAAAAGAAGACATGGCGAACCCCGTTTGAATGCTCCCATGTGGGTTAGCCCCAACATCGAAATAAAAATAGCCGATTTAGGAAATTCTTGCTGGGAGGTAAATTTTTCTCTATATATTTTATCCAATTTACTTAATACAAATTATTGTTTTTGCTTTCTATTGTAAACAATTAAAGAAAAGTTCACTTAACTTCTTCTATTCGTAAAACAAAAAGAGGAGTGCAATAAGGGTGGACATCAGTAAATGTTAACAATCCCTAGGAAGAGTAAACTATTTCTAAATTGCATACTTCCAGGGTAGCTATTCATCTTGAATTCGAGGGAATAGAAAACCGGTTTTTCCTCTTTATCTACAACGCTCAAAATTTGTATTTTTCTCTCTTTCTTCCCTCAAAATGTCTACTCCTAAGATTCAAGAATAGATACACAGCCAGTAAAAGTTTCAATCTGAACACACTTTTATTAGCAAAGCAATGACTAAGTTGTTTTGGTAAAAGCTGGACAAACCTGGCATTCTATAAAGCTATTCAGCAACTTTGTTTAATTGAATCTTGTATTCAGTAAATAGTTAACTAAAAATACGTTTTAGGACCACCATTTTTCAGCCGAAATTCAAACACGTCAATACAGGGCTTTAGAAGTAATTTTAGGAGCTGGTTACGGTTTTCCCGCTGATATATGGTCAGTGGGGTGCATGGGATTTGAAATGGTGACTGGTGAAATGCTTTTTAGTCCTAAAGGTGAAGAATCAAAGATTACTAATAGAGACCATTTGTGTCTGATTTACGAAACGCTTGGTGGTATTCCACAATATATCACCGAAAAGGGTACAAATGCTCGTCAGTATTTTTCAAACGGTAAGAAAACTTTTGTTTTTAAATGTATTAATAGCTTATAGTTGGGGGAGTCAATCGTCATAATAAAAATGCTAAAGAAACCTCAAAAATCGCCTGGTCAAAACAATATTTGCATTGTAATTAAAAACTGCGTGGCCGGTCTTCAGAGTATTTCCTTTCTAGATATACAAAATTCACATCACTTATCCACTTCGATACCAATTAACGAGGTGGCTCTGTTATAACGCAACTTCCTCACATTTGGAAGATCGTGTGTTCGAGCTCCACTGCCGCCTGGCCTACTATGAAGTTTTTCAAAGGTTTTCTCATAGCAATAGAAAAATGCTGGTATCATCCTCTCAGATACCCAACACCATTCCTTCCGCATCATCCGCTCAGACCCTTTCAGTGTGGCTAAGGCAGGGGCGCATATATGGGGGGGGGGGGTCAGCTTAAAAGTCTTTGTTAGACCAGATGAGTTGAACGTCACGAATGCTTCAGTTTCAAAGTACTATTCAAATCATTGTAGACCTTCTTGATATTATTCCCCACTGGAAAGATCGGGAGGCGTCCCGATCTTTAAAAAATGCTATAGGTTCCACCGTTTTTATAGTTTCTTTATGCTCTCTCTCTCTCTCTCTCTCTCTCTCTCTCTCTCTCTGATATTTTAGCTTTGACTGTAAATTTAAGTAAAATATTGCAAAAGAAGTCAATTGATAAACACTATGTTATTACGCTTACACAAAATGTTACACAAAATGTTATGTTTTAAAAGACGTCGAAATTCCGAAACTTATTTTAGGACCATTTTTACTTTAGTGTCAGATATTCATAAAAAATTAGATTCAGAAATTATCAAACCAAGAGTTATTCAGAGACAAACGCATCGCCCCAATATATCTGCAGAAAATAACGAATCTTTTTTTAGACTTAGCATCTATATTTCTTTGTTAGAGAATATATTAAAAAATCTCCAATTTCGTTTTAACGAGGAATCTTTGAATTCAATATATTTTTCCTTCCATTTTCAATTCAAAAACGGATACTGAAATTAGTCAGTCGATTGAAGTAGTTGCGAAATATATAAGCAAATTTGAAAATAACCAAAACAGAGATTTAATACTTTTAAAATTAAAATCTGAATTCAGTATTTGGAAAAGCGTAAAAAAAGCGATACAGATGGTATCTATCGGTTTGTATTCGTCTTGCGATGAAAATATATTTCCTTTATTAAAAAAATGCCTACAAGTTTTGGTCACTCTACCCGTTAGTGTAGCTTCACCTGAAAGAAGCTTCTCCTCACCTGGCTTCGTTCAACAATGGGTCAGGATAGATTAGTTGGGCTATCACTTATGTTTATAGACAGAGAAATCCAAGTAAATGTAGACCATATTCTTGATTTTACGTTATATTTTTTTTCATTTCATGTTTTCTGGTCATGCGAGTATGTTTTTGTTATGTTTTCATTTATAAGCTTTTGTGTTATTAATGTTTTTAAAATGTGTTTAATATTTATTATACATGTAAAAGTTGTTCTTTTTAAATTTACTTGTATTGGGGTCTATTCTGTAACAATTCCTTTATATTTAACGGACTTTAAAAATATTGGCGGCCTATAAAAATATATTCGTATTCGTTAATTTACTTCTATCATTATTTAAACAGATTTCTTTAAGATAGTCCTCTAATGTATTTTAAAGTTCCGTTTAAATAGTTACCGAATTAAAGAAGAAAATATTTTTAAAGGCCGTTAAATATAAAGGAACAGAATAAACCCAAATATGTTTTTTGTTTGTTTTTAAATTATATCAGAAATAAAGTCAATATTTTCACTACCCCCCCCCCCCAAAAAAAACTTAAACTCTGGATGCGCCACTGGGCTAAGGAGACTACGAAAGCCTATAGCGACCCACTTTCACTTGGGAGAATGAAATACACATTCTTTACCTTTTAATTACTTTAATAGTAATTATTCACGAAACATACAATATTTGTAACGAGTCTTCACATGAAATTGGCAACTTTAGTATTACTTCTGTCAAATAGGTGACTTTTTTTATGATTACTACTGAAATCATTAGTGTTACTTTTTAGCCAACCGATGACATCAATTTAGTCACGTGGGATGCGGGTACTGTTGAAGACTCTACATAAAATATTACAATGAAATACAGTGAATAAATGTAAATTAAAGTCTAAAAAAGTAGTAGAACATTCACAAAAACTTTTTTGGCTGCCTCTTATTTTATTAACAAAATAATTAAATTCTAATAAATGGTATAGTTGAATACGTCTATTATAGACAGTACAAAAATGTGTGGAATGTGTAAGAATGCTCAAATCTGTCGCGGTTTCGTGTAGAGATTTTCAGGAGGTTTCGGGGCAGGAGGAAATGTTCCCAGTGGCGAGCAATTTTAATGTTTTACATAGATACACGATAAATATGCATTTTCTATCTATCTATCTGAATTAGGGCGTGGTTCAAAGCCCACTTGTACTGAAGCTCTAGGCTTATTATATCCCTCACAGTTTCTATCCCATCAGATTGATTTTCTTGATGAATTCAAGAATATGCCTGATGGGTGCTTTCGCGATTTCTTCAGATTCCGGATATTGACCCCGAAGTACCATTCCCGTTCCCATTTAAGGTTCCGACAGTGGCATAGTATGTGAATAGGAGTTTCGTCCTCCTCTTCACATATTCTACATAGGGAGTCATCAATATGCATTTTAATTTAATACAAAAATTATTTTCAAACTTTTCAATTCTCGTCTAAATTCATTTTAAAGGGAAAGTAAATAATAAATGTATAAAAATACCTCTAAAAACCACGAATTCTCTCGGTATTTCCATTTTCTCTAAGAGTAGGTGAAAGTTTTGAGAGAAAATTCTCTAAAAATTTTGGTGAATTCGATTTCTCGAATACAAATTTTTACAAGGAAGTAGAAAGGGAAAAGTTTCTCTCAATATTTCTGTCGCCGCAATTACCAGCGGATTTTAGTAGATATATTTATTATTCATCTTTTATTTTCAAGGTGAATTGCTGCGTGTAAATAAGAAATGGTTAAGAATATGGAAAATTGAAGATGTCCTAGTAGAGAAATACAAGTGGAAGAGGGTGGATGCTATCCCATTTGCTGGTTTTTTGGAAAGTCTTATCGAGCCGGACCCAGCCTTGAGATTGACTGCATCTATGGCCCTTCAAAGCGAATGGATCACTATGAATGAGTAATTTCCAAAACCATTTTTATATAAATCTGTTTTAAAGACTGAAATTTTTATGTTAATTATATTGTTATTATTTTATGTTCAATATATCTTCACTAGTGTTTTATAATAAAGTTACAAAAATTAAAAATCGTTTTAAAATGTTTTCAATAAAAACTTACCTACAAATACCTAGCTAGTTTACAAATGCTAGGTTCTAGTGAAAGCTGAAAAACAAAAATGACAATAATAAATACTGTATGTTCATGTAGATTTAACAATTTTTGGCGATCATCTGTACCAGACAAAATTGTCTTCTTAAAATGGTTTAAAAGTACACAAACACGTATTTAATAAGAGAATGGTCCATGATTGTAAAATGATTAAAAGCTGAATACTTGTATATATGTAATATCTTAGATACAAACGTCATATTTTTTAAGAAACATACATATTTTTCTTACAATGAATAAATCTATCACAAATAGAATCTTACATATGGATAAAATAAAGTGAGCTTAATAAAATAATGATAAACATTTAACAATAACAGCTACTCATTAATAATGTACGTGTCATTCTAGGACCACATTTTATTATAATTCTTTGGCAAAGAAATAAATGTAATACTTAAATTAAATTTATGCTTATAGCAGGGGCAGAAGTGGGAAAGGTTTTGAGGCGGGGCCAGCCGAAGTGGACGCGATACATTGGCGTTCAAAATTATTTTATAGATGTTAATAACCATTTTTAGGTAAATTTAATAAATTGTGAATAGCTGATGAAATTTTCTAGGATTATGATATTATAATGCTTGTTTAATTATTATTTTCAGTCCATAAATATATGCGATTGTCCGGTTCCGCCGGTAACAACTTATTCTATGAAACGACACTGGCAGGTAAACATTACCGCGAAATTCTCGAAGCCGTCCGACGTGGTTTGACGTTTACCCCCTCTTTACCTACCAAAAAGCTTTCCAACTTCTGCCTTTGCTATACGCCGTAACCTCAAACAGCTTGCCAAAAAGATACTTTATAGTTTCTTTAGAAATAAAATCCTGCTAATATTACTTGCTATCTAAACAGATAGATGACGAAAAGCTCTTACAATAACCTTGCAACTGCAATATGTCTTCCGGTGAAATCATCTATTACAAAGAAAATTTCACTTTACAAAAAAACCCCAACACTGATTTGGACAGTAATCCTACAAATTCATGGGTTTACCCCATTAAGAATGTGAAGGGTTGATGTCCCAATCAGTGATTTTTTTTTTTGTAATGTGTAATCTTCTTTGTAATTGGGTCGGTTGTGTATCAGTCTCACGCGCTTATATTCATTTATAGACAAGTTCATGATCAGAGACAGACGGGCTTCGAAGCCCACCTAGACCATGTGGATTTTTAATTAAATTAAATTTCTGTTGATATGACATGCAGATTATAAAATCGCCATGCATTACCGTCTCGATGATGATGGGTGAGGTTTTCCTCACCTGTAAGTCAAATGGCACAATCAATCATCTTAAGTCGCCACGGAAAATAATAATAATAGCCGTCCCTTTCCCTGCACAAGCTCAGCTTTTGGAGTTAAAATTCACTCGTAAGGGGGTGAATTAGGGAGAGTATTATTAATATTATTAATTTAAAATAGAAGGTATATATAAAATATCCTCAAAATATAACTGGTTTTATAAATGAATATGAAAATATAGGTTACACACTCTTTGGTGCAATAACCATTGATATAATTATATATGTATGCATTAATTAAAATATATTACACTGTATTCACATTTTATTCAAATCTCACGCGGCCATTAAAGAACAAAGTATTTCGTTGAGATTAGATTTGATGGCCGCTAGTATGACACATACGTCTATCTTTGAGCAGAAACAAATAGATTTTGTTTTTTAAACGTCAAGAGATTTTTAAAAACATTACTGTAACAAATACAGATTCAATTCAATTATGATCACGACAAATATTATCAAATTTTTTTAACATTTTCAAATAAGAGAATGATTGTTCGTAGTTTTCCGTAACAGATCGGTTTTTATACAGAATTATCCAATATTAATATTACATTCTATATACTATACATAACAACATGTTTTTTGTTGAACAACTGGACTCACTTCTGTTACCTAGGTACATGCTAGGTACTTAATAAACATGACACAAATTATATTTTTCGCCTACCATATGTGAAAATGAATCCTGATTTTGTAGTTTTTCACTAGATATCTAGACTAGATACCTTTGACTGTCACTTGCGTACTTTGACGTTTTACATAAATTTTGATTAAACGTCAGTGTAAGTCTATTAGTGAACATGGATAGTCATTCAGACAGTGACGAAGAATTTACAAATACTCCACCAAACTTGTTAGGAAGCCAAAGGGATAATTAATATTAATTACTACAATAAATAAATTCGTACATTTTACTACTTAAGTTTCTTGTATTTGTAAAATTAAAGATTTTCGTTATATTTTCTTTTTCTTTGGTTTTTTTTTTGGTAGGCGAAAAACAATTGTGTGTCACACGTGCAGAAATCGCTTTAGCAGCCCTTAGCTATAAAAATTATCTCCGTATTATTATTAAAAAAAAAAAATTCACGTCTTTCTAATTGACTTTTGACAGTTGACCAATGGAGTACTAAGATATTTTAAAATAATGTTGATAAATCGTCAGAAGTACACTGGATGGAATAAACTATAAAATACGAGATATAATGATGGATCGAGTGGAGCACCGGCAATCTCACTATCGCCAATATCTCCGTTATTCTTCCACCTAGCCTTCTGACGATTTGCAAGTAATTTTGTTTTGAATTACAGAATAAGAATACAAATTGTCAGAAGTGTACTTATAGTGACATCATTATTGGTAAATTTTTCGCAACAGGAGCACATTCTGATGACTTTTTCTCTTCCACCTAGACTTCTGACAATTTTTTCCCTATGTTCTTATACTATCTCCGATAATACTGCAAATTTTCAGAGCTGTAACTTATCACTTATTTTGTGAAAAAAATTGCATGTTTAACCCCCTACCCTTACTTTATACTTCCAGGGTGACTTCTAACTGCCCTCTTTTCGCTATGTTGGTAACAATCAAAACTGTAAATAACAAAATTTTGACTTTACCGAGTCACCCCTACTTTTGTGTCACCCAGCTCTTAGACTATAACTAGGTATATTAAATTCGATGTTCTTGTAATGTCTAGGCAACCAATATTACTACTTTCTTGTATTGTTAGTTGCATATGCATCATTTAATTATAACATATTAATTTATATTCTCGACGACTTGTAATGTGTTTATACGTCTTATTAAAGCTTGTTAGTTTTTAAAAAAGTGGGTTATTTTGTAGTGTATTACGTATTAATTATTTTGTGCTGATAATGAAAAATAAGGACCAAAACAACATTATATTAGGTTGTAAGTTGAACCAAATTCTATTTTTATAAGTCAACCTGTTCTTCTTTAATATAAACTTTCAATAATAATGTATATTATTGATTTTAAAACCAAAAAAAGGTTTATTTTTATTTGTTTTCTTTTCGTAACTGGTGACAATGAATTTTTCGTAACCAATTTCACAATGCTCAACTTTATAAAAATGGTTGCATAAAGTAGATCGTTTTGACACTTGCTGAGATTATAAAGTGTCACTTTATATGTAAAAAATATATTTTGACACCCTGAAGATCCCTTATAATGTAGATGGATCTATATTGCTGTGCAGCAGGAAAGGTGCTTGGTTCACTAATCTATTAAAAACAAAGCATCAAGAAATGTTTGGTAAAATGTATTAGTTCATATTATTATCAATTAATCTTATTTTACAAAATGACATTGAACTTTAATAAAAATGCGATATTTAAAAAATTATAAATTAACGCATATTTGGTTTCGTTTGGTGACCTGCTACATTTGAGTTTGTTAAAATATATAAATTAATGTTTGTATTTTATATTAACACTACAATTTTAGTAATTCTGTATAAAATTATCGACCTATAACGTTTTTTATATTATTAATAAAAAAAAAGTATAAAGAACATTTTTGAACATAAATAAAATAAACCTGTTATACAAATAAATAACGTAAATACAAATAGAAAATATACATTCAGGTTTCTGAATCTGTGGCCACTCTAATTAGATTGTTTATGGCTGAAAGATATTTTAATTATCCTCCTTTTTCGTATACAACATGTAACAATAAAAAAAATTAAGTTTGGCAATAAAATTTTATTCGTGAAATAAAATTCAGGCAATTTTTGAGAAAACAGGCAACTTTTAATTGTTCTTAACAAGAAACAGATATTTTTAATAATGTCCCGTTATTTATTTTCGATTTCAAAAACCTCATACAGTAGTCAATTTAAAAGTAATTTTAAAAAGGGCTCTTTATAAAAAAAAAAAACATTTCACTTTAAAAACTTGTTCATCCATATTTTGATATACATGTTAAAGTACTGATAAGTGACTAGTACGTTCGTGTGCCATGCCCTCACTGAATACACGTATGATAATTTTTTTAGATCAATTACTATAAACACGGACTGGCTCAAAATAAAAAAGTACTTTTATAATTTTTCATATATATTTCTGATACTGCTCAAAACATTGGATAGTTCATAAAAAATTTTTCACTTCTTCACAATACGATTCGTGATCACAATTTAGAACTATAACTACTAATTTGTACATTTAATACAATAATATTTGGAAAAATGGGATATGTGAAAATGTTTTTTCTTATCTTTTACCATGATACAGACACTTTTGTACCTATTTTCTTTTTTGACCTCTCAAATGCAACTATTAGGAACTTAAAAATTGGTTTCACTAATGTGAAAACTGAGCGAAACAATATAATGGATATAAAAAAATTATATTACGTTTTTTAATTTTAGATTCAAAGTATAGATTTCTTAATTTTTTCGTTTGTGCCAACACAGATTGTCAGCATAATTTAAAAATCGTTTACATCTCAATTAATGACAATGATGATTATTATTTACAGTTGAAATGAGTTACATTGGTATTTAGTGAATTGTAACTCTAAAGTGAGTGTTATAAAAAAACTTTTTCTAAATGACAAGGCAAATTTTAAATTTAAATTGGTTCTCTGTAGAAAATTCTG